GAGGACTCTTTTTTCTATAGAAAAAAAATCCTCAGGTCCCCTTAAGACTGCTTTTATTCGATAGCAAAAAATTCCTCAAGTCCCCTGAAGACTGCTTTTTTTCTATAACGAAAAATTCCTCAGGTCCCCTGAGGACTGTTTTATTTTCTATAGAAAAAATTCCTTAGGTCCCTGAGGACTCTTTTTTTTTTTCTATAGAAAAAAATTCCTCAGGTCCCCTGAGGACTCTTTTTTCTATAGAAAAAAATTCCTCAGGTCCCCTGAGGACTCTTTTTTCTATAGAAAAAAATTCCTCAGGTCCCCTGAGGACTCTTTTTTCTATAGAAAAAAATTCCTCAGGTCCCCTGAGGACTCTTTTTTCTATAGAAAAAAATTCCTCAGGTCCCCTGAGGACTCTTTTTTCTATAGAAAAAAATTCCTCAGGTCCCCTGAGGACTCTTTTTTCTATAGAAAAAAATTCCTCAGGTCCCCTGAGGACTCTTTTTTCTATAGAAAAAAATTCCTCAGGTCCCCTGAGGACTCTTTTTTCTATAGAAAAAAATTCCTCAGGTCCCCTGAGGACTCTTTTTTCTTTAGAAAAAATTCCTCAGGTCCCCTGAGGTCTATTTTATTCTATAGAAAAAAATTCCTCAGGACCATTGAGGACTCTTTTTTCTATAGAAAAAAAATTCATCAGGTCCCCTGAGGACTCTTTTTTCTATAGAAAAAAATTTCTCAGGTCCCCTGAGGACTCTTTTTTCTTTAGAAAAAATTCTCAGGACGTCTAAGGACTCGTTTTTCTATAGAAAAAAATTGAGGACTCTTTGAGGACTCTTTTTTCTATATAAAAAAATCCTCCGGACGCCCGAGGACTCTTTTTTCTATAGAAAAAAATCCCCAGGACTCTATGAAAAAAAAAATCCTCAGGGCGCCTGATGACTCTTTTTTCTATGGAAAAAATCCTCAGTTCTTTTTTTCTTTCAAATAGCCCACGTGTCGTATAAATAATATTATTTTGGGAGGGGGTACAGGGTGGTATGCTTAATATTAATTTCAATTTATTATCAAATCATTTTCTGACTCTGTGAGAAATCAAATCCTAAGGCAATTTTCTTTCAACTCTTCCCCTTCTTTGTAGTTTTTTCAAGTTCCAAATAATTAATGGTGAATAATCAAAGTGAAATATTGAAAATGAAAGGTAATGGACCCCAACTTTTATTTTTTTCGTTAGCAATGAAAGAGTAAAATCGCAACACCAAAAAAGTGATTAATTTCAAACCACAATATAACAACCACAAGAAGAACTACTTTTCATGCTGAAAAGTTTTTAGCAAACCAAAAAAATTTGTTTTCGGAACCAAAAGAAAGGTCTGTTGCCCCCTTGAAAAGTTTTCCATTTTCTGTACAATAAATTTGTATGGCATTCGGCTTTGCCGAACGGATTCAACAATTGTAATTGAGCACTGGAGAGTTAGATGTAATTATTTGCTCACAATCTTAAAATGAAATTAGTAGAAGAACGAAAAAATACAAAAATAAACCGAAAATTGCTAACGAGGAGAGTACAATGGACTAGGGAGGGAAAGAGAGAGGGCACACGAAACAAAGTTAAAGTTGAAGGACCAAGTTTTGCTTTTAAAACAATCATCGGCATCAGCCAGTGTTCAACAATACCTTTGGGCCACCCAGAAAAAAAAACAGCACACGAAAAGAAATCAGGCTAAAGTCCAACACACATACAACCTTTAGCAGAGGATAAGGCCTCAGGGTGGAAGAGGGGGTTGAGAGGTAAGGAAATAAATTGTTTTCTCACGTACTTTGTATATTTCTCCAATGGCTCTATTGAAACTTGACCAGAGGGGTTGTATCTAAAGTTCGTGTTTTGATAATATTCAATTAAGGAAAAATTGAAAACCAAAAAAAAAAAACGAGACAAGGATAGAGAAAAAAAACGAGAAAATAGCAGAATGGAATCAAATTGGTGATATTGACTTTCAAGGTGTGGAAAATGTGTTTTCAATTGTTGTTGATTCTAGTTTTTTTTTTTTTTTGGTTTGGTTGGCTGTGATTGTTTTGAAGATGATATCGACTGGAACATAATAAACAGCTTATCTTGATGAGGAAAATTTCAAATGAATATTAAGAGGAAACTGGGAAAATTAAGACAGTGTTACTCAAGGTAGGGTAAAATATTTCCTTTTTTAAATAAATAATCAAAATTTGATAGAAATTATATCACTGATAATATTTTTCTCTAGAAAATTCGTTCGCTATTAATGTTTTTCTTTAAAAATGGTCTGAAACCCTGATTTTACATACCATGGTGCGTATGATTTTTTGTTCATTATTTCACAAATGTTATTCATACGCTCTCCATGACTAATGAAATAATATTAATTATACGCAATAGTGGACAATTTGGTAATTACTCTAAAAATATGTGAAAATAAAATATTTTATGCGATAATTTTCTATTTTCTCACATATTTTCATACAGCTGCATTATTTGCAAAATTTTCCCACTTGACCTTTGTAATCAGAATTCCCTTTATTATTATTATGGAATTTATTAGTAATTCCTTCCACGAATAAACAACATTGCCATTGACCTATTTATTTTCCAGTCATTTAATATTATTTTCAAACATACACACACGCATAAATATCCGCACAATAATAAAAATCCCAAGTCAAGTCAGGGTCTTGGGGGATTTATGGTACTCAAAAAAAAAACCTCGCCAACCAACGTCAATATGTAAACAAATAATAGATAAAATTGCCATATATTTTGCAAATTCTCTTCGCTGATATGAAAAAACAGCCATTCATTTTTATTTCAAGTGGTTTATTTATTTTGCAATTTTTTTATTTCTTATTTTTCAAAATAGCATTTTGCACAACAAAACACTTGAAAGATTGTGGTTGGGTTTTATTGGAAAATAAAAAATGAAAAAATAATTGAAATGGCTTATGTGCCGTAGGGAAAAAAATACATTGTTTTTATTGATTTATATTTTGTTTTCTGAAATACCTTTTGCAAAACAAAACAACACAATTATTCGTACTAATTATTTTTAATGGAATACATTGTCTTGTTTTAAATATTTTAGGAATTGAAATGTTCAGAAATTATCTAAAAAAAAAACAGAGTCATATTTCCGTTTGCGTATACTTAATATTTTCTACAAATAACTCAATATTACGTATACGCACCATATCACTTGAAATTAATAATACTTATACGCAAGCCTTAGCAGAAAGTTTCTAAAGAGGGGATTGGAAAAGAATTCATCGACGATCTGGGATTTTTTCTACCAAAAAAAGTCTGTAAGAGAATTTCTTCCCTACCGAAAAAAGTCTGTTAGGTTTCACTAGGCTTTTCTAATCTTCCTCAGCGACAAATAGAAATTTTTCTTTTGGAAAACATCCTCCATATGGATTTGAGGATTTGTATAAAGAAGATAGATTTGTGTCTGTACAAATAGGTTCCCTCGGGAAACTGAGGATTTTTTTCCGATAGAAAAGTCTACCACAGGGGTCTTTATTTATTGACTGAGGATTTTTTTCCTTTAAGACATGACGAATTGTTATAGAAAAACTAATGAATTTTTTTCTATAGAAAAAAGAGTCCTCAGAGTACAGAGGAATTTTTTTCTATAGGAAAAAGAGTCCTCAGCGGTCCTGAGGAATTTTTTTCTATAGGAAAAAGAGTCCTAGAAAAAAGAGAGGAGGATTTTTTTTCAGTCCTGAGGAATTTTTTTATAGGAAAAAGAGTCCTCAAGGTCCTGATGAGGAATTTTTTTCTATAGGAAAAAGTCAAAAGATTATTATCCTCAGGACCCCCTGAGAACTCTTTTTTCTATAGAAAAATATTTCTCAGGACCCCCTGAGGACTCTTTTTTCTATAGAAAAAAATTCCTCAGGACCCTATGTGGACTCTTTTTTCTGTAGAGAACTGAGAACCTCAGGAGGTCCTGAGGAATCTTTTTTCTATAGAAAAAAGAGTTCTCAGGGGGTCCTGAGGATTTTTTTTAGAAAAAAAAGAGAGGATTTTTTTTCTATAGAAAAAAAGAGTCCTCAGGAGACCTGAGGATTTTTTTCTATAGAAAAAAGAGTCCTCAGGAGGTCCTGAGGAATTTTTTTCTATAGAAAAAAGAGTCCTCTCTTTTTTTTCTAAAAAAAATCCTCAGGACCCCCTGAGAACTCTTTTTTCTATAGAAAAAAATTCCTCAGGACCTCCTGAGGACTCTTTTTTTTCTATAGAAAAAAAATTCTTCAGGACCCCCTGAGGACACTTTTTTCTTTACACCTTCACAAAAACTGAAATCTTCTTCTTCCCAGAAAAAAATTACAACCCCTCCAAGGCTATGCATCACTCTCGCTGGCTGTTCCATTATGTCTGTGTGTTTGTGTGTATGTGTCACAATAAATTTCATTACATCAAACAATGACAGACAGCGGTGATGTTGCTTTGTTTAGTTCCATGTTTCTTCTTCTAATTCTCGGCCTTACTGGTTTGCCAAAATGGAGCAACAAACGTGGACGGCTGCTGCTGCTACATTAGGCAGCAATTGTCCAATGCTATGGCCGTCATCAGCACATCACAATGGCCATCATCAGCCACATCAGATTTTCGTTGGATGGATGTCCATTTGTCACATGGCATCAGCATGGATTGTTTGTGGTCGGCAAAGATTTTTTTGTCTGTAATGATTTTCTTTTCCTTTCGTCACGAAACTAATGTCAGTATTTTATTCTAACGTTCTCTTTGTTTTCCTTTTTCCATCTCTCTTTGCAGCAATTCGAACATGATAGCGGACCAGCACGTTTGTCATCCCCTAAAACTCAAATGACATTTTCATTCAGGTGTACCCAAAACAGAAAAAAACAACAACCAGAACCATAACAACAAAAATATTAACAACACACACAAACAACCAGGAATCTCCACAACTTTCCCCATACTCCACAGACAACAACAACAACATAAAATTGGAGCCTGAAACCTTGGAAATTTGAAAATGTTGCACTCCTCAATGCAGGAGCATCAACAGCAGCAACACCAACAACAACAACAACATGAATCTACACGTCAACCAAGTATTTCAACCATTTCAGCCAAAAGGACACCCCTACAGCCCTCAACTGATTTATACCGGACAAATGGTTCCCCGGCCACCAATGCTGAACTGCGTCCCTTAACTGTTTCACAATTGGACTTGGCCAACAATGGACTGGGTAGGCGGCTAAATAGACAGGATTCGGAAACTGGTTCCTTTACCTCACACAGCCGAGGCAGGTTAAAAGATTCGACAGGGGGTGGTGGCAATGGCGGTGGCAGTACAAACTCCAATAATATGCATTCCAACGAAGCTCCAACGGCTGTCCTGGTCAACTCAGCAGCCACAGCCTCGGCAGATAATCGCCATCGACGATGTGGCAGCACCAACAGTACCCGCAGCAATCAACTAAGAAAACCCAGTTCCTCAAGTGGTCGTACCACCTCTTCGGCGGCATATTCCGGCATAAATCGTTCATCGCACGATCCCAGCTCAACGCCACAACAACCACAAATGAAACCTGCCTCTCAGCTAACAACAACAACAACAAATTCAGCGGCAACGCGATCCATCTCAAATTCTCAACAGCAATCCCACCAAAATTCAAACACCATGTCATCCTCCTCCAATCCGACACCAAGCAATGCCAAAAAACCATCCACAGATCGCAGTGATGATGAACGTTTGAGTACCACAGCTGATAGTACGGGAGGTGGTGGTGCTGGCGAGCCTAGACGTATTCATCGACGTCGTCGTTCACGGCGAAGAAATAAACCCATTAACGGCAGTGGTGGTGGTGCGGATGGTTTATCATCGGATTCCTCATCTTCCTCGTCGTCGGGTTCATCGTCGACCGCCTCAAGTTGTAATGGTTCCTGCAGTTCGGACGATGGGGAGTCATCTACCTCATCGGGTGAACCGAATTTGCCATATCCCGGATTTCCTGCGGTAGCATTGAAATATCTGACACAGGATACGACGCCTAGGAATTGGTGTTTGATGTTGATTACGAATCCATATCCTTTTCAAAACTAAACAAGAATTATTTCAAAAAATAATTTTTTATTAAAAAAATACAACAACAACAACTGCATCGGCTATAAGTGGAATAATCAGGTTCGGATCGAAATTTAAGACGAAAACTGAAGTTAGGCTTAGTTTTAGATTGAAACCCCGAGTTTCCATAAAACCTTAGTACAGAAAAAATCATATTCAGCTAAGTTTTCTGACTTACAATATGCATTCAGCTAAGTTTTACTATTGAAAATTTTGATTAGAAGAAATATATTCAGCAAGTTCTGTGCATAATTTCCATACATTATTTTTGTAAAAACGCTATTCAGCTAAGTTATTCTCTATTAAATATACATTCAGCAAAGTTTTTCTAATGAATAACTCAATTCATCAAAGGTTTTCTGCAGAAGAAGTATATTCAGTGATTTTTTCTTTAAGAAAACGTAAGTATGCGAAGTTTTTCCATTGAAATTCGGTATTCAGCTAGTTTTTATTTTACAAAACAGCGGAAAACCTCAATTCTGAATAGAAACCCGAGTTTCCACAAAGCTTTAGTACAGAAAAATTATATTCAGCTAAGTTTTTCCACTGAAAAAATGTATTCAGCAAAGGTTTACTATTGGAAAAGTACATTAATGGTCAATTTTCTTAAGAAGGAATACATTCAGCGATGTTTTTGTATTATTTAACTTCACTTTTATTGTAAAAACGCTATTCAGCAAAGTTATTCTATAGGAAACATACATTCAGCAAACTTCTTAAGGATACCTCAATTCAGCAAAGGTTTTCTGTAGAAATAGTATATTCAGCGAAATTTTCTGTGAGAAATCTATAGTCTGGGAAGTTTTTCTATTAAATTTATTATTCAGTTAGGTTTTATTTTAGAAAAAACTCAATTAAGCAAATTTTGTCTACAGAAAAAATCAATTCATTCGTGATTTTCTTAATAAAAACTCAATTCAGCTAAGTTTTTTCTTATACAATATCAATTCCAAAAGAAATTTTTATAGAAAAACTCGATTCAGCAATGTTTCTCCGGCGAAAATCTCAATTCAGCGCTGTTTTGCTACGGACAACTCAATTTAACGGATATTTTCTTAAGGAAATTTAATTCTGCTAGATTCAGCAAACTTTTCAGCTTAGTTTTCAATAGAAAAACACAATTCAGCCAGATTTGTCTATGGAAACTCTAATTCAGCGAGAGTTTTTCAGAGAAAAATTCCATTCAGCGATAATGTTAAAAAGAAAAACTCCATTCAGCGATAATTTTAAAAAGAAAAAACTCAATTCAGCAAAGTTTTTATATTGAAAAACTCATTTCAGCAAAGTATTCAACTTAATTTCTTTACTATCTCTATGAAATAAAATCTATTCCGCAGGAGTTTCTATGGAAAAAGCTCAATTCAGCGGGGATATTTTTAGGAAAATTAAATTCAGCGAGATTTTTGCTTGGAGAATTTGATTTTTCTATTGCAAAATCTTGCTGAATTGAAGTTTTTGATATTTGAATTGAAGTTTGCTGTACAAAAACTTAGCTGAATTACGTTTTTGGAAAGAAAAACCGTGCTGAATTAAGTTTTCCTAGAAAAAATTTTGCTTCAAGTATTTTTAATTGAAAAACCCTTGCTGAATTAATTTTTGTACAAAAAATCTTATCTAAATTGATTTTTTCTTTAGTAAACCCTTGCTGAATTGATTTTTTATGTACAAAAATTTATCTGAATTGAATTTTTTATATTGAAAAGTTAATTGAAGTGAGATTTCGATAAGTGAATTGCATTTTACTGTAGAAAAAACTTGGCTGAATTGTGTTTTTCTAAAGTAAAGTCTTGCTGAATTGAGTTTAAATAGAATAAAATTTTGCTTCAAGGAACTTTTAAATTGAAAATTATTCCAAAATATTTTTTTTAATTGAAAAACCTTTCTGAAGAGATTTTTTACAGAAAACCCTAGCTGAATTGAGTTTTTCTTTAGCAAATGTTTGCTGAATTGATTTTTTCTGTACCAAAATATAGCTGAATTATGTTTTTTTCATAGAACACCTCGCTTTTTTACCATTTTATCTTTAAAAACCTTGCTGAATTGCATTTTGTTGCAGAAAACCCTAGCTGAATTGAGCTTTTCTTTAGCAAATCTTTGCTGAATTGATTTTTTTTCTGTACAAAAATGTAAAAAATATGTTTTTCCATAGAAAACCTCGCATTATTTCCATTTTTTCTTTAAAAATCTTGCTGAATTGAATTTTGTTACAGAAAATCCTAGCTGAATTGATTTTTTCTTTAGTAAATCCTTGCTGAATTGATTTTTTCTGTACAAAAATGTAGCTGAATAAAGTGTTTCAATAGAAATCCTCGCCTTAGTTATATTTTTCTTCAAAAGTCCCTTTCTGAATGTATTTCCCACTTGGTGCTTTTCCCATCTCACTCTCTCCCTCTCGCTCTCTCTTTTCTCTTTTTTATCTGTCTTTGATTTAATCCCCAAAAAAAGAAAAGATTTATTTCTCCCCATACTTTGGCTGTCAATATGACAACCATATGTCTGACAGTTTTTTTACGGCCAACACTTGTCCACTGGTTCGTGTAAATGTAACTTTGGAACTTTATTAGCCAACTTTGTTCTTCTCTACTCTACTCTTCCCTTCTCTTTTTTGTTCTTGCTGTTATTTTCTTTTCATTCTAACTGGACCCCACCAACTAAATCCCTACCTTATGTAAATTGCAAATTTTTAACAAATTAAAAGTTAAGCTGTAACAGTAACAAGCTGGACAGCATTGAAGTTAAGAGAGGGCGAGAAGGAGAGAGAGACAGAGAGAGGGTAAGAGCGTGCGATAAAAAACGGCAACCATCCACAAGTGGCAGAAAAGCGTAGCGAGAACCTAGCACCAGCTGTGTAAACAGCAAAAGATTAGAAAGAATTAAGTGATGCTCATTAGCACAGTTGCTGTTGTTTGTGCAGGGGGGTAGAGGGACATTTTTAAAGGGGTGGCCAAGTAAAAAAATGGAAATAGAAGGGAATGGGTTTCAGTTTTCCATTTGTCACTGTTTGCCAGTCAATGATTACAAGTCGTTGATTATTGTTTTTGTTGTTTGGAAAACCACACATTTGCTAGCCAAAATCGACAGCCAAGGACTCTTTTCCAAACCTCTCTCCTCACCTTCCCCCCACTCTTCGAGGCCTTTGGTGGCATTCGAAATGTTGTACAACAAATCACTGGGAAATGGTCAACTAATACAATCTATGCTACTCCAATGAGATTGGGGTCATTATGTTAATATATCAACAATGGTCATTGTTTCCTGCAAACTTTTTCCATGACAAAGGAGTCACAATGAAAACCGAGCACACGTACGCACGCACACACACAAAGACACATACACACAACCCTTTTGTGCCATCAGAGTATGTGTGAAATGGTCAACAATTCCCCAGGATACCAGCCATGGCATTCAACCATACCATTCATTAGCCAGGCGAGGCAGTCAGCTATCCAACACGTTACTGTTGTTGTTGCTGCTGTCGTTCAACCTGACCTGCGTAAAGTGGCGCCCAAACATTTGCCGTGCCAACATTTCATTCCCATTCAAAGCGTTGTCAAATGGAAAACTATTTGTTATTAATTTACAAATGCAACTGCCATCATCGATGGTGGGTTTGCGACCAGTTGGGTTGGGGTTGGGTAAAGGCCAAGGACCACCAACAAATGGTACTGCATGGTTTATGGGTTGTATTCTCGTTCGCTTTTCCCCAGAGAATGAAGCCGGCCAGTTGCGATGTTCATGGCAAAAGGGATTGTTCACCACCTTCATGATTGAATATCCAAATGCATTTGTTTTACAACAACAACAACAAGGTTAAAAAGGGGGATTTGCTTCGGTTGCCTGACCACCCGGAACTCTCTGTTGAAAATGGTCACTTCGTTTGAGGACATCAAATGTAGTATGAAAGGATTTCAGGTTTTTTGTTTTTGTGTTTTAATTCGACAACAAGTTTTTAAATCGATTTTGTAATTAATTTTCAATTTTAACAGTCAGGTCCTTGAATTTATTGTGGACCGAACAGATGTCAGTTGGAACAGGGTGGCCATCGCAGAAATGTGTACATTTTTTCTAGGAAGATCAGCAAACCTTCAATGATGTTTAAAAAATTCATAAAAGGACATTTCAAATAATCGAAAACCAATCTAATGTATAAAGCATGTTTTTAGATTAATTAGAGAGCTTTCAGAATGCCTCTACAAAGCTTTCGAGAAGTCTGGATACTCTACAATGTTCTAAGAAATTTACAGAATTCATAGAAAAACATTTATAGTTCAAGAAAAATTACGTAAAAGACCTCTGGGATTGCAGAACAATTCGAAAGCTTTAAATAAAATAGAGAGCTTTCAGAATACCACTACAAAGCTTTCGAGAAGTCCGGATAGTCTACAACGTTCTATGTAGTTTACGGAATTTATTGCAGCGCATTTATAGTTCTAGAAAAATTACGTAAAGGACCTTTGGGATTTTCAGAACAATTCTGAAGTTTTCGAGGAGTTTAGAAAACATACAACGTTATATAAAGTTTACAGAATTAATAGAAGGGCATTTATAGTTCTAGAAAAATTACGTAAAAGACCTTTGATATTTTCAGAACAATTCGAACGCTTTAAATGGATTAGATAGCTTTCAGAATACCTCTAAAAAACTTTCGAGAAGTCCGAATAGTCTACAACGTTCTATGAAGTTTACAGAATTCATAAAAGAACATTTATAGTTCTAGAAAAATTATGTCGGTAAAACTAATTTGGGATATCCTGAACAATTTGAAGTTTACAGAATTCAATGACGGACATTCATAGTTCTAGAAAAGTGCAAATAAAACTGATTTCGGATTTTCAGAAAAAATCGAGAGCTTTCCGTATACGACCAAAAAAAGCTTTTGATGAGTCTATTAGAACTAATAATAATTTAAAACAGTCTAGAGGAATTAAGCAACCTTTTATATAATGAAATAAAAGCATTAAAGGGCGTTTCCGAATATTTCAAAAGCTTCAGAAGCTCTTTAAAATATATTTAGTAATTGTGAAAATTTTAAATAATTTGAAAATGTAGAAGAAAAGTATTAAATGGTTATGGAATATTACGAAAGCTTCTGTAGAATGTTTAAAAAGCTTCCGAGATATTACAAAAGCTATATAATTAATTATGTGATGATAATATATAAGGATTGAAAGCTTTAATAGAGCTTTCAGACTACGTTGAGTGCCACATCAGCTCTCAAAGCTTTGGAAGTTATACAAAAATGTAATAAATTAAAAAGAATAATTACAAAACCGCTCAAAAGCTCCTGAAATATTTCAAATATTTACAAAAGCTTTCCAGAATAGTTGAGAGAGAAGAATTAAACTGTTGATTTCTAGAACTCTGTAATCTGATAAGCTTTATAGTTATGAAGGATCTTTTAAGGATCTTATCCACTCAATAAAAGCTTCGGATGCTTTCAAAAGCTCATTTAGTGATAGTAAACTGTTAAAAAATATAAAGTGATATAAATTACTATATATAAAGTGATATAAATTGTTGGAAAGCTTTTACGACAAGTAAAGTCTATTGAGAATCTAGATTATTTAAAAGCTTTAGAAATATTTCAAAATTTATTGAACATTTAAAAATTCGAAGAGAAAGTATTGAAATGCATGTCTATCAAGCTTTCAGGATTGTTATGAAATTCGGAATATTTTAAAATCATACTAATTCGGTACTCGGTGGCGTATAATTGTTATTAATCCAAATGTACAATAGGGCGTATGATTTATATTAAATATATAATACACCATTAAATATAACGCATACGTCGTATTTTCGAAGTGAATTGAGTTCTTTAAATTCTCATTGAAATTTAACGATCTGATCTCCAGGTTTATAGCCCAAAATGATTTGTTCCCCCCATGGCACCCCCAATAAATTAAACTCCTCAGCCCATTGATAGTTCCTCATCTCTGTTTAAATCAATCGAAATCTTTGCCACAGAAAATCCCATTCGAATATGCAATGATATGTCAAAGAAAATTAATGGTCTTATCAAGTCAGCTCAACACAGCACAACTCAGCTCATATCGTAACCTATAATTTATCATTTGAAGCCTTTGAAGGCAAAATCAAGTGCAGACCCAAACGATATACATATGTGTCCGGGTGTGTGTGTGTGTGCCTGCGTGTGAATGGCTATGGAGTTTGGCATACGAGTATACAAAACCAAAGCAATGTATATGAATTTGTTCGACTGACATATCTGCCTCTCTGGCCGCCGCCGCCGGACTGCCTGCCTGTTTGGGATTTTCTACTCTTGTTTGAGGATGGGGGAAATCTATTTGTTTTTATCTCTTTGCCGATGCTGGTGTTGTTGTTGTCGTCGTCATAGTCTTATGTTCATGTCCTTGTATTGTATCTGCTGTTGTTGTCGTTGTTTTTGTTATCCTTTGCCTTGTTGTTATATTTTTGGTGTTTTCCTTAACTACATTTTGATAACTATTGATTTTGCCATCAACACATGGTTCGAGCGTATATCGATACTGGTGATTTTATTCAACTGTATTACCCTCGGCATGTACCAGCCGTGTGTGGATGATGCCTGTGAAACGAATCGTTGCAAAATATTGCAGGTAAGTCGCATATCTCCAAGTACGTGTGTGTGAGAGTGTATTTACATGAGTATAGGTAAGTGAATTCAATTGAATTAAGATGAGTTTGGGTAAAAGATTGAAATTAAAATGATATAGACGAGTGTGTGTATGCGTAATATGTCGGTCGTGTAAATATGCCAAGGAAGTTGAAGTTTTCTTAACAGTTTGCTACGATGATTAGTTACCACCACCACCACATTAACCAAGACGAAAATTAAGTAATTTCTTGGGTTTATTTAATTGTCAGTTGGTGTGTGTGTGGGGTGTGACGTATAATTACTATTAATTCGTAGAGTCTATGGGAGCGTATGAGTGTGTGTTCATTTGTTTTAGTTTTATATTAAGTATTAATTATACGCCACACATGCCAAGTGATTTTCAAGTCAGGTGTTTTGGAAATGAAAGAATAATAAATTTATTAGGTGTTTAAATACAATATTCGTAATGAAAATTCACATCGAAGCTAATAATAGCTTAATAAACATTTGAACAATTATAACAATTCCAAAATTATAATTACAATTATTTTATGAATCATGTTTGGAATCCATTAGACATTTAAATTTTATAAAAAAAAAATAAAAATGTAGCTTCTTATGTCTGATTAATTATGTGGAAGGGGTGGCGTATAATTGTTATTATTTCCAAAGTACATCGAAGCGTATGAGTGTGTTTATTTAAGTTCTATATTAAATAGTAATTATACGCCGCACTTGCTATATGAATTGGTCATAGGTTTTGGAAGAGAATGCAAATATAATTAAGTTAATAGATTTATAGATAAAAATAAATTTGAAATGAAAATATACATCAGAGCTGTCCCAAAAAAAATTAGTAATAAAACATTAATTAAATAAAATAATAAACAAAAATATATACAAAATACATAAAAATATCTGAAAGATATTTTTGGTAACAAAAAATTTTCCAGAGGCCAGATTATAGTGATTTTCATTGAAAAGAGGATACAGCGTTCTTCTATCAAAATAACACATAGAATCCTGGGAAGATTCTCAAAAGATTTTCATAAAAAAAGACCCAGAAGGTCACTACGAAAACTATGATTTATTATGAAAAGGAGAAGATGTACAAGTCTCAAAGGACTTCTGGAAGGAGTGTTACTGATGGTTTTCCATGAAAATATGCAGCTGACATATTCTACGAAGAAAACCCCAAGAGATTTACTAAGAAAGAAATAAAGCAATAAAAACCAGGAGAGGAAGACCCATAGAAATCTTAGAAGAAACACCCTGAACACTTCTATGAAAAGTCTACCTTTTATGATATATGCAGGGAGGTCATCGAGGAAAAATAATTTAAAGAAATAAGAAACAGGCTTGGATTTTTTAAAAATATTTTTTTGAGTCTAAATATTTTTGGGGTCTAAATATAGGCGTGGATTTATTGAAAATATTTTTTGGGGTCTAAATAGAGGCGTGGATTTATTAAAATTGAAGCAATCCACTATTTTAAACAAATCAAGATTACTATGAATTGATGTAAATCTCATTAACTTAATTTATCCAACTAGATTTAAGTCTATGAATGCAACTCTAGTTTGAATTTAAAATGTATCTACAACACTGTAAATAATCTTAGAATCTTATCGATCTTTTAAGAATGTTATCGATAACGATTAACATATTTTGTAACCCAGAAAGGGTATAAAAGAGCGAAGGAAATACTAGAAGTCGCTCATTAAGCAATCTCCATTCAAACACGATACATCGTATCCATCTGATAAGATTGCTCAGAGTAAGAATAAATACCCTAAACCAACTCATTCCTCAATCTCCATTCAAACACGATACATTGCAGTATAAACTTTACATGTCCCCCAATTCATCTATATAAATTCACAGGCCCCTAAGCTCATATCTATTGACTCACAGGCCCCTCAGCTCATCTATATTCACCCAGTGCCCTCCTTTCTGTAATATAGACTCTGAGAAGACTCTATGGTTGATCAGTTGGTCTATATAAATGCCATAAATATCCACAGTCTCATTGGCCCATCGGCTTCTTTAGATAAAGTTACTGATCTTTCCACCTAATCTACACAGCCTCACTGGTCCCTTAAGTCGCCCATGTGAAATACATTCAGTTTATCAATAATTCAGCCTATCTATGTGGTTTTCCTTCCCTGTGTCGGGAATTCCTCCCAATTGTCTATAAAAAGTCCTTAAATTTCTCTATTTGAAGATTTCGCTCCCCTACCTCTAAAATTTAATTTCATTGAGGATTTAAAAAAAGAATCTCCGAAAACTTCTATGAAAACAAAAAGATCAGAACTTCTATGAAAATTAAGAAACCAAATTCTCTTATGAGACGAAAATCCAGAATCTTTTATAAAATTAAGTCACTGAGGTCTTCTGTGGAAAAGCAATTCCAGATGTCGTCTATTACAAATGAGTAGGTTTCATAAATACACATACTCTCGATTTTTCAAAAAAAAAATAGAAATTCCTTCAGAAAACACGATTTAAAATATTACTGGAAAGAAACATTGGTCTTCACAGAATTTACAAACCGTGCAATTTGTAAAGATATATTTTTTCAAAGACTAAAAACGATGACCAATAAATGGTAAAATTTTTTTTAAATATTTTATTTAAGGACCAACATTGGGTGAATTTTTCCAATTTATTTTTCTCCAGTTTGTCCCAAGTCTTTCTAAATCCTTTGTTGGCCTTCAAATAAACGTACAACCCCTTCAATATCATTCTACAAATATTTAAATTCCCGGTGTCCCTTCCCTACTCCGTATAACGTATGAGTAATTAAGATAAATTAAATATCAATCATACGTAAGCATGTATGTACCTTGTACATATCTATGTTGACATATGTAACTAAGTTTATTGCCGGAGAACAGCAGTAAAACAATTGTTATTACCGCTACTTGACTTCTACATGAGAGTGTATACGTATACGTTTGAGGGTGTGTGTGTGTGTACATGACTAACTGACTACATTATAACAGAAGATAAACATTTGTTCATTACCTCCCCCCAAAATGTTGTAGGATTTTACATGTCATTAACTAACACACTACCACACCCGTCTACCGCCTTCCCTTCCCCTCCTTTGTACACATGTCAGCATTGTCAAAATCTAAACAACATTTTCAGTTTATTTGTATCACTCTCTCCCTCATTCTCCCTCTCTTTTGGCCTGCTGTCATGAATGTTTATGGCATCCATAAGCTGTTTCTCGGATGCCATTAAAATACAATGTTTTATAGATAGAATATCAGCTAGAATCTGTTTCGTATGGATGTGTGTGTATATGTGTCGGAGTGAGTGAGAGTTTCGAAGAAGACCTGCCGTTATAACCTAAAGTATGTAACTTCATATTGCTGTTGTTGTTATTGTTGTTGCTGTTTTCTTATATTGTATATTTGAAACGTGATCTATTTGTGTTTTCTCCAAAGTCCCGTAAAAAACAAAACTTTGTACACAGTCACATACATCATGACGACTTTACGCCACTGCTTACGTGTCGCAATAATAAAAATAAAGAACGACAACAACAACAACATCTATAGCAACAATGAAATATAAATCCTGTCACTAAAATGTCATTGCGATATTTACCATTGCCATGGATATTCCTACTCCCTATGTTCAGTGTAATTATATGAATGTGTCTATGTGTGTGTGTGTGTGAGGGGAACTTTGTCACAAGTTAATTTGTAAAAAAATGACTTGCGAATATAAAATGCAATAGGCGAAGGAAAGAAAATAATGTTGTCATGTAAATGTGTGTGTGTATGTGTGAGGAGTGGGAAAGGTAGATAAGATGAATAAAGTATCCAATAACATATGTGAGACAGTGATGAGGTAATTTGGAGAAAAATAAATAAATTTAATTTTAGAAAAAATTAGGTTCTTAAAAAATATTTAATGTAGAAAAATCAAAGGTAGGACAATAAATATTCAGGATTAAAAAAAAGTAAAATATATAAATAGGTATGCTTATTTGCCAAAACAGGGCCAGCGATTTTCTTTTATTTTTTTAAAGACAAAGGAAAATGTGTGTGTATTTATTTTTAATTATATATTTTCAAAGGGCAAAGGGCCAACAAGGCTTGGAGTGGATTTTTATAACCTTCACCACACTGTCGCATTTTTGATCCGATTTGAATGTGGCACAAGTCACTTATTTGGCCCAAGGACGAACCCTATTGAAATTGAAGAAAATCGGATAAAATTTAGATATAGCTGCCATATATATTTTTGTCCGATTTAAAGTATATGGGGGCACCAAAGTCCCTATATATCTTTCGATTTGCACGAAATTTGGCATGGGGTACTAAATTAGGTCCCGAATGATGTGTGCTAAGTTTCGTGATAATCGGTTCAGATTTAGATATAGCTCCCATATATATTTTCGTCCGATTTAAGGTAAATGGGGGCACCAAAGTCCCTATATATGTTTCGATTTGCACGATTTTTGGCATAGGGTGCTGAATTGGGTCCAGAATGATGTGTGTCAAGTTTCCTGAAAATCGGTTCAGATTTATATATAGCTCCCATATATATTTTCATCCGATTTAAGGTAAATGGGGGCACCAAAGTCATTATATATCTTTCGATTTGCACGAAATTTGGCATATGGTACTGAGTTAGGTCTAGAATGATGTGAGCTAAGTTTCGTAAAAAATCCGTACAGATTTAGATATAGCTCCCATATATAGTTTCGACCGATTTTATGTGAATGGTGCACCAAAGTTCCTATATATCTTCCGATTTGCACGAAACTTGGCATATGGTACTGAGCTAGGTCTAGAATGATGTGTACAAAGTTGGTTCAGATTTAGATATAGCTCCCATATATATATTTTCTTCCCATAAGGACAAAAGAGCTTTGATTCTTGAATATATTCTCTTCAAGGACAAATGACAATGAATTCTTGACGTGGATTTTTTAAATTATTTTTTATTTTAAGGATAAAAACTTTTAAAAATATCTTTTCCAAGGACCAAAAAGGCTTGGACTATTAAATATAATTTTTCCAAGGACCCACAGGACGTGGACATTTAAAGAGAATTATTCCAAGGGCCAGCAAGGCGTGGATTTTTAATTAGAACTTTTCTAAGGTTTTCTAAATATAATTTTTCCAAGGACCTACAAGGACTTTTAAACAATTTTTCAAGACATTCAGGGACTTTAAAATAGAATTTTTGCATGGATAAAAAAACATTAAAATAATTTTTTTCCAAGAACCCATAAGGCGTGCACTTTCAAAGTGAATTTTTCCAAGGACCAACAAGGACTTCTATATATATTTTTTCAAGGATAACCGACTTTTAAATAGACATTATCTAAATTTTTTATAAATATAATTTTTCTAGGGACCAACAAGGCGTAAAATTTTAAAAATTATTTTCTTACGGACTAAGGACCAACAAATTCTGGATTTTCTGAAGCTCCACAAAATCTAAATTTTTCAAATCCCGTATTTTAAAAAAAATAGTTTCTTAAGGGCTAGGGACAAAAAAAATCATGGATTTTTACAAGAGAACTATGAACAAAAAATCCTGGATTAAAAAAAGGTATTTATAGGAACTAAGGATAAACAATCCTGGATTAAAAACCTTTTTTTAAGGACTAAGGAACAAAAAAGGGTCTTTTAAAAAAAAAATTTCATTTTAAGGGACAGCGAGTCCTGCCTTCAAAAATCAACTATTTTCAAAGCCCAATTTCTAAAAATTGTTGTTTTCAAGGACAACGAATCATTAGAGAGTTGATTTTTAAATATACTAAGGGTTTTATGTTATATGAGCGTATGATCAATATTCATTACAAAGATATGCGTATAATTGATTTCTCGCATATATTACTCATACGTCACATATTTCTTTCGATCGATTTTATTTAATCATAAAATACTCTTTATTTCGTTTTATTTTGTATTTTTTTCTCTTAGACCTTTGATGATATCATCTTTGGCTTCTTCGCCTTGGAAATGTGCATTAAAATGGTCGCCATGGGTATCTATGGCAAAACTACCTATTTGGCTGATTCCTGGAATCGTTTGGATTTTTTCATTGTCCTGGCTGGCCTACTCGAATATGTGATGCACGTGGAGAATTTGAATTTGACGGCAATACGAACGATTAGGGTATTGAGGCCACTGAGGGCCATAAATCGAATACCAAGTAAGTTGGAAGAGAACAATAAAAAAATAATAAATATATGAATTAATTAATTTTTATTTATTTTTTAATTAATTAAAAAATATTTTTAAATGATTTCCAAAATTTCCAAATATAAAAAAATTAATCACATCCAGGTATGCGTATTTTGGTAATGCTATTACTGGACACCCTACCCATGTTGGGCAATGTCTTGTTGCTGTGTTTTTTCGTCTTCTTCATATTCGGCATTATTGGGGTCCAACTGTGGGAGGGTATATTGCGGCAGCGTTGTGTCCTTGAATTGCCGAATTATGTCAAAGTGCCGGAAAAGTAAGTTGAATTAAATATTTTATTTAATATTGACTATTTTATATAATATTTTAAGACCTACTACTCATCTATAGAATTGTTTTTAAAAAATAAATTTTTAAGTTTTTATTTCGATTCTCTTTGATTTTGAAATTTTAACAACAACAATAACAGAGTTATGAAATGTATTCTATAACTATAACTACTTGTGTTTTAATTATTTTTTTGTTTCATGTGTTATTAACTAAATAAATAAATAACAAATTAAATAGCCAAAATAAGGAAATTGAACTGTGATAATGACCGAATATATAAAAATGCATTACCAAATAACACAATGATGATTAACTAGCAGTTTAGTGAAGTTATGATGGTATTCAATTCAAGTTTGCAAATGTGTATTTACTAAGAAAAAAATCCAAAACTAAAACATTGTCATTCAAATAAAATGTGTGTAATAGTCTCTTCACCCTCCCGCCCCACCCACAACTTTAAATACTCCATGGCCAAGAATAACCTGCGAATAGATCCTAGAAGAAGAAGTAGACCAACCAACCATAGCAGAAGAGGGGTCTTGTTAGTAGGGACCTTCCCCTTTTTTATTTTTAACTTTCCTCTTAGTTTTAGTTTTAAATTTTTTTCAATTTTTTCTCCCTATTTTGCTTTATTGCCAATTAAAAACCTTTCCATAGTTTAATGATTTTTTTTCGTTATGGTTCTGCTATTGCCTCTTAATTAAAAACAAAACAAAACTTAAATAAAAACTTTATTAGCTAATAAATTATTAATTTTAGTTGACATCAGTAATTTTGTGCCATTAATGAAAACAATTAAAAATTTCGTAGTAATTAAAATATAAATTTATATACAATATCAGTAGAAATCCAACAAATTAAAAAAATATTCAGTCAGTCAGTCATTTGATACTAACACCAGCAGACAGATTTCAAACAGAATACTTGCAAATACCCCAAATGGGAATAAAATTGAGAACAGAACAAATACCATTTTCATAAACCATTAACACCACAAAACCAGATATAATTTGAAAGCAAACTTTCCAACAAAATTGAAATGAAAAAAAAATAAATTAAAAGTACGAAAAATGGGGACATTTTCTAAAGAAAATATTTTCCCTACAATTCAAATACAAACAAAAATAATTTAAATAAAAAAGTGCCAAAAATTGGGACATTTTCTTCTTCTTTGGGCAATGTTAAAAAAACGAAACCCATTTCCCTAATAAATGGACCCCTTCTCTTCAGACATATGTATGTACCTCAATATACCCCTATGTATATTTTACACAAAGGACCAGTAAATTATTTCAGTCCATATTAAAAAACTTCAAAACTATTATTTCTCCAAGAAAATATACCTCACCCCGGGACCACAATCCACAGCCAAATCTTAAGTCGCTTCAATAAAATGTTTACCCGACCACAAATACCAGAAAACCATCATCTGTAATATAGTCGCTGTAAATACACACATTTAAAACTCGCCGTTATTAATCACCCCAAAAAAAATACTACTTTTCCAGTGTAAAGACTCCACAACAAATATAGTTTTGTAATTATTCACAGTGTATATATTCCAACAACAACAACAACAACAAAATACTTCACAGGCTTTCTGTGTGCTTTGCAAAGGTGTCATTGGTGGCTTTCAAATATTTAATTTTACACTACATTACATTTATTCAGAGGAAAACAAAAGTGTATAACAGTTTTTTTTCAAAGACAAGAAATGTTTGTTTATTTCCGAAACTGTTATAAACCTAATCTTAGAATATATATTTATTACTATTTTCATCAATTTTTCCTAGGAAAAACGTTTTACTAATAATTTTCAAATTTTTTTCTAAAACTGTTATACAGAAATTTTTATAACAAAAACTGTTATACAATTTTTTTCTCTAACAAATCTGTTAACTAAAACATTTTTGCAAAAAAATTCAACGGAAAACTGTTATACAAATAATTTGCACTTTTTTCTAAAACTGTTATACAGGATTTTTTAAATGAAAAAACTGTTATACAATTTTTTCTTATAAGGAAAAACTGTCATATATAGTTTTACGAAAATATTTATTTTGTTTTCCTTAGAATATTTTCTGTATCAAAAACTGTTATACACAATTTTTCCATGAAAATAATAAAAATATTTTCCATTACAATTTTGTTTAGAAACTGTTATACAGTTTTTTATAATAAAAACTGTTATGTGTGAAAAATTTTTTTTTGACAGCAAAAAATTGTTATACCAATTTTTGTATAAGAAAATTTTTTTATACACAACTGTTATAAATTTTTTTTATAACTATAGAAAAAAAGTTTTACAAATTTTTTTATATAACAATTTTAGACCACTAAAACATTTTTTTATCAAAATTTATTTCCAAAGAGAAACAAAATGATATACAAGCTTTTATAGCAAAGAAAGTGTGTGTAAATATATTTCTAAATGATCAACTTAATTTTAATATATTTTTATTAAAATTTCCACAATTATTCAAAAACTGTTATAAATAATTTAATTTTTTCTAAAACTAATAAAATATTTAAAAAAATTTTTTTTATACAAAATTTTTTAAACTGTTATACCGTTTTTTTAAAGTGTTATACAATTTTTTTTCTATAGTAAATCTTCAAACTAAAACATTTTTTGCTAAGAAAAAAAATTTGACTGTTATAAAATTTTTTATAGAGTAAATGATGTCATATACCATTTTACGTAAATGTATATTTTTTAAAAATTTCTCAACATAATTTCTGTAACAAAAACTGTAATAAGCAAATTTTTCCATAAAAATAAAAAATTACATTTTTTTCCTAAACTGTAATTCAATTTTTTCTGTGAACTAAAACTTTTTTTTTGTCAAAAAATAATCTGTAATAAAGATTTTTTAATAAGAAAAACTGCTATACAAAATGTTTTCAATAAGAAAAAAACTGTTATACAACATATTTTCAATATGAAAAATTGTTTTACAAAATGTTTTCAATAACAAGAACTGTTATACCACGTGTTCTTCTATAAGAAACCCCGTTTTGAATTAAAGAAATTGTTCTACGACATTTCCATCCAGGAACAATTGTTATATCATGGTTTTTTATATGAGAAAAACTGTTATACAAAGTATCTTCTATAAGTTATAAAATCAGTTTTCAATAAGAAAATTTGTCATATAACATTTCTTCTATATCAAACATAATTGTTATACAAAATATTTTCAATAAGAAAAACTGTTATACAATACTTCGATTCAATAAGAAAAACTGTTATACAACATTTTGTTTCTATAAGGAACCCAGTTTTGAATTGAAGAATTTTGTTATGACATTTTTTGTTATGTCATTGTTTTTATGTGAAAAAACTGTTATAATAACTCCTTTCTATAAGAAGAAAAGTGAAGTGAAGATTAAAATATTCATATTTTTAAATTAAAAAAAATGTATAACAGTTTTTCTTATAGAAGGAAGATAATTAATCACTTTTCTTCTTATAGATATGACTTTGTATAACAGTTTTTCTCACATAAAAATAATGACATAACAAAAATTTTTAGGTGAAAGTGTCGTATATTTTTTTTCAATTCAAACTGGGTTTATTTTACCGGCAAAACTGTTATACTTATCTCAGATGTTGAGAAGGATCAAATGTATTGTTGCAACTGTTATAATTTTTATATTAATTTTGAAGAAAAAAATTCAAAAATTTTTAAAGGAATAAAAACCTGTAAAGTTTTATGCACTTTCCAAGAGAAAAACGAGATATAGAAATATTTAATCCACAGAGAAGATACTAATCAGCACGTTAATGCATTAGTAAATGTGCTAACGATCACTTAAAAACCACCCCTTGACATCTTTGCAAAGCCAGAGCAAATTTGAAGCTTAACACACACCCACAGACAAGTCACAGACTGGCAACAAAAGTCATACACCCTTTGTATAGAAAAAAACCCTATCTGAAAAAACTGCAGTTCCACGTTCATATTGTTTTTGTTTTTATACAAATATATTTATATATATTTAGACGTTTCTCTGTACACTGTTTCTTTGTCTTCTTGTCTCTTCTTTGACTGTCAATTTAACAAATATTATATACTTTTACTATTCTCTGAAATTATGTTTTTGTTTTTATGGATATGGTTTTGTTGTTTATTGTTTTTGTTTACACTTTTGTTTTTTTGTTACGTTTAACTGTCATACTGTTATAATTATTATGATTATTATTGTTATTGTATACAACCAACCAACCAACCAACACTCATTGTTATTGTCTAATTTTTCTTGTGTTTCAATTTTTTATTATCAACAACAATCTAAAAAAATAAAATAAAACCAAAACAAACATAAAAACCAATAAATCAACAAAAAATACAACAAAAAACAAAAATTATGATGTCTAACCAACCACCAACTCAAATGTCATCGCGATTTTTTGTTTACAGGGAACTACCTGATGTGTACAGAGTTCGAGTCCGTGTTAACTCGTAAGATGAACAAAGATTTTGATACTATTATCGTATTATCGTAAAAAACAACAACAATCATTTTTTTACCAAAAAAAAAAAAAAGAATATCAATCAACAACAACAAAAAAATTCTTCTACTCAACTGTCATATAACTGTCTCTCACTCTCTCTCAATCTATCTAAAAGCAGTATACAAATGTTGTATATATATATCAAAAAACATCTCTATAAACTTTTTTCTCTCTCCCACTGAACTTTTGCTCTCTATATATATGTATATTTACAACTATTTATAAACGTATTAATTATTATTATATGGATATATATTTAGCTAATATTATTTAACAATATATTTTCTAATATTTTTTTTATTTTTTTTAATTTATAAAAAGAAATCTAAAATTAATATCAATTTTTTTCCATTGGTTTAAAATTTAATAACACCATCACATCTAAGTAGCAAATATTTCATTGTAAGAGAACTAGTAGTTTTTTTCAATTAACCACCTCAGACACACATATTATGTTATGTTTTTTTTTTAATTATTAGAATTTTTTTAACACCCAACATTTTCTTGTAGTCCTTAAATGTTTCTCTCTCGTCTAAACACGCCATTATTTTGTTGTTCCCCATCACCTCCCACACAATTAATGTTATAGCACATAGGCTCTTAAATTGTCAGATTCCCAATCGTTGATATAAATTGATAGCTTTTTAGATTTTCAAAATTCCATTTCATTTATTTGATGTCCACTGTAGTCTATGTTGGTATATTATTTATCTACTCTATATATTGTAAACCCCTAAAAAAGTAGTTAAGCAAAACAGTCCGTGACATTTTCAACATTACACGACACCTATTGAAACCATGAATAAGCAATAACAACGATCAGTATTAGAAGTTTTCAATAGAAGAATATATTCTGAATTTATTTTTCATTAAAAAGACCTGTTATATGCTTTTTTATCACAACTTTTCTTTAAAAAACTGTAATACACAATACTTTACCTTTAAAATATGTTCTGGTCTTCTTTGAAAAAAAAACTGTTGGTATTTTCAAATACGCTTCAGTTGTTAAATAATTTATTTTTTAAAACCAAAATTTTTATACAATATATTTTCTATAAGATACCCAATTTTTTGTTTAAGAAAATTGTTATACAATATTTTCCAAAAGAAATATTAGTTTTTTTTTGTATAAGAAAAACTGTTATACAGAAACTTTCCTAAAAACTTTACTAAAAAACTTTCCTAAAAGAAAAAGTTTGCGAAAAACTTCATTATGCAGGAAAAGCTATTACCCAAATTGTTTTGAATAAGAAAAAACTGTTATACAAAAGTTTTTCTATAATAAACTCAATTTCGTTTTGAAGAAAGTAGTTATACAACATTTTCCCAAAGGAATAATTGTTTTATACATTTGATTGTGTAAAAAAACTGTCATACAAAAACTTCCCTAAAAGAAAAAGTGTATGAAAAATTTCATTCTATAGGGAAAACTGTTATACAAAATGTTTTCAATTAGAAGAACTGTTATATAACTTTATGTTTTTTTTTATAAGAAACAAAATTTTGTATTAAAAAAATCTAATACGAAATTTGATAAATAAGAAAATCTGTTACACAACATTTCTTTCTGTATAAAAATCAGTTACGTATTTAAAAAAAAAAACAGTTTTACAAAATTTTTTCCCAAAGGAAAATTTGCTTTATTTTTTTGTGTGTAAGAATACCTGTTATACAAAATCCTTTCTAAAATAAAAAGGGTACGAAAAACTTCCTTCTATATTGAAAACTGTTATACAAAATTTTTGCAATAATAACAACTGTTATAAATTTTTTTAGAATGTTTCTTCTACAATAAACATATTTTTGTTGTTGTTATACTGCATTTTCCCCCAACGATTTTTTTATATATTTTTCTGTATAGAAAAAGTGTTAAACAACATTTTTTTTTCTATAAGAAAACCAGTTTTGAATTGAAGAAAAATTTAATACGGACCCCCTAGAGGGAAATTTGTTTTATAATTGATTTTTGCGTAAAGAAAAACTGCTATACAAATTATTTTCTACAGGAAAAACAGTGTTATCGAAAATTATTACAGTAGGACAAATTTCCTTCTAAAAGAAAAACTGTTATACAAAATGTTTTCCATAAGAAACTGTTACACAACATTTTATTGTATATGAAAAACAGTTTTGAATGGAGAAAATTGTTATACATTTCCCCCCACGAACATTTATATATACAACTGTTATACAAAGAAGTTTTTATTAGAAGAAGAAATTTCAAATGTTCATATTGAAACAATTTTTGTGTAACAGTTCTTATAGATGGAAGATTATTAAACCGTATTCATTCTATAACAGGTTTTCTATATAAACACAATGATCTAGTAAATTGTCCTAGGTGGAAACGTCGTATAACAATGTTCTTCAATTCAAAGCGGGATTTCGTATAGAAAAAAAAATTGTATTGTAGAAAAAATGTATGAAACAATTCCATTACAAATTTTTCTTCAGGAAGAATGCCAGTAAAAAAACTGTTATACAAAATTTTTATCGACAGATAAGTGTCTTACTAACTGGGTTTCCAATTTCTAAATTCCATTTACACACACACATTCACACAATCTAGAAAAAAAATATTATCTATATGTATGTATATTGCCTTAATCTATTGTTGTATAACTTTACATACACATTATGGCAATTACATATTAATTCTAACAAAAACTGTTACACAACTGATTTACTTTTGGAAAAGGTCCTTTGGGGACAATTTTTATAAAATCTATCACCTGTGCGTTTTTGAAACTGTTATAATATTAGACAATTTACAGTTTATCAATGTAAATTGTTTTAAATTATTTTATATGGAAACGTGTTATAAAAACAATAACTTTTATGACTGTAATTTTAGGACACATTTCTAAATTCCATTTACACACACACCAACACAATCCCGAAAAATTTTATCTATATGTATGTGTATGGTATTTTAATCTAGATTTAAATTTTTAGGATATTTATTCTTGTTCATTTCAAAGAAAGTTAAACCAACTTTTTGTCCGTCCTGCCATCATGCAGTTCCCTGGCATTTATACACATTCAAAACACCACCATCATTCCATAGAATCACTACTACTAAGACAAACTCTAGTTAAGTTTCATTTATATATTTTTCAACTTTGTTAAATTCATTTCAATTTGTGTTTCAAGTATTTGTTTATGGGCTCTTTATTGTGTTTAAGATGACTTTTGTTCAATGATTTCATTTCGAACTATGATTAGAATCTCTACTACAACAACAAATAGTTTGCTTTAAGTAGAAACATCCATATTTACACAAACACCTTTACACTCTATACATACAGTCAAAAATCCCCTCCGCCACAACCACTGATCCATAGAAGATTAATTGTAAAGGTTTTTGCCTGAAAAACATTTCGGGTGAATTTAGGTGTCGTATTTAATTTGAATTTAGTTTTTTTCTTCTATATAAACAAATTATTCTATATAAAAAAATATTAGAATTTTTTTTTAAATTTTAATACATGTAAAGTAATTTTTTCTCGTCATTTTCCCACTCTATATATGTGTGTGTGTAATTTGTTTACGTAGTAGTATAAACGTATACCACCAGTCCAGTTGTCACTACTTTCTGTTTTGTTAAGTTTTTTTCTAAAAAAATATAAATCTGTCTTTGTTTTGATTTTTTTTCTAAACAACTGCTTTTTATGCTCTGAATTCTTTTTTTTTCAAAAAAAAAAAACTAAAAAAATCTTCCGGCAAAGAAAACAACATCTTCTACTACTACTACTGCGACTACAGCTATGCCACCAATTCTTGTTCTTTATTCTTCTTTGCAAATTGTGTTGTTGTTTTTTTCAAATTTTCTTTTGTGCCTCTTTTTTGTTGTTTCATTTTCTTTTGCCAAAAGAAAGTAGGTTTTCTTATTTTGTGTGTGTGAGAACAGAAGACGAACGCCTTCCTTGCTGGGCAGGTGGGCGTTGCTTTTGTCTCGTCTTCTTGTCTTCTCTTCTCTCTCTTTCTCCCCTTTTGCAGAAAAAATCATCAGTTTAAGTTGCAAAGGTACTTATTCCAAGCCATGTAACCTGGTGTTGTTGTAGTCAGTAAAACAAAAATAGTGAACCACCAATTATTATCACCATCATCATCAGTGTTTGTGCCATGAGCCTTTTTCAAAGTCATGAGAATCCAAAGAAAATGCGTTTAGTCTTAGTTTATAGCCGAGAAAATATGTGGGGTCATCAGGGCCACTCAACCTGGATAAAGGGGAGTTATGTCTCTGACGCCCAAAGTAGTGTAACAAAAAAGAAACTTTAAACATCCCAGTCATACAAAATAAATAAGGCCAGAAAATAAATAGCTAAGTTTTTGACAAAGCCAGGATAACCAGGGATCCTGAGCAGAGATCCTTTTGCACCCTAGGTTATGTTGCTATACCAAACCCTCCCCCACAAAACTCGAAAATTTTGTTTAGTGATAAAGAAGTCGCCCACAAGCCGACCTAATGGGCGCCTCATTAACACCCAACCCCAAAAAATCTGCCCTTAGCTGAGCCCGTGCCCTGCCCTGCCCCTCTCCATCTAAATTATTTTTAATAACTAACTTTATTTTCTTCCTCCCTATGATTTTATAATTGTCGCCAAACTCTCTGTCTTTCTCTCCTACTCCTAATCGCTGTCTCTCTCTCTCAAATCTCTTTTCACACGGTGTGTTATTTTTCTTCTTACATATGTGTATGTGTGTGCATTTTGCATAAATTCTCCCAAACATATAAATATTTTTTTTACAAATTTCTCTCTCTCCACTATTAGACCTTTTTTTTAAAAAATAACCAAGATTCCAAAAACAAAAAAAATCCTATTTAACATTTCCCAAAAAAGGATAACTTAAATAATGACAACTTAACAAAGTATTTTTTTTAAATCTCTCAAATATATATTTATTGGTTGTATGTGTACTTTTTTGATAATTAAAAAATATAAAAACTAAAAAAAAATCTACAACTACTCCTTTCTCTTTCTTTTTTTGTTCTATTTTCACACTTACACAATTTAAAAATAAAAAATAAACCTAACCTCAAATCAACGCAAAAACAAAAATCTTCAACACCTTAGTGTCTCCTATTACTATGAGTTTTCCAAGGAACAGGATTATATATGCTCGAAGCCAGAAGATTCTGGCATGCATATGTGTTCGGATTTGCCACCATATCGTATTGGGCCAATGATATGTACGGGTATGTATTCCCATCCAATTGTATTCCTTATTTATACTTAGCAAAATTTCTTGGTTTTTTTTTTCTTCTCTGCAGAGCCCGCCATTCCTATGCAAGAGAATTTACCCACCAATACATCCTGCGTCAATTGGAATCAATATTATTCCCATTGTACCCAAATGAGTTTGAATCCATTTCAGGGTACCATTTCGTTTGATAATATTGGCATGGCATGGGTTGCCATATTTTTGGTAAGTTGGAAAAGAATAACAAAAAACAGCTGACAAACAAAACACTGATACCAAGATCTATTAAAAGTCTAGTGAAAGTCAGCTGTTTTTTCTCAAGTCTAACGCCAATGCCAATTTGGACTTTGTTTATGTGTTTATAATGGAAGTCAATTCACAATAATGTATTTTTTACAGCTGATATCCAGCTGGTCTCTCGGGATAACCTTATTAAAAGGCCTTGACTGAAAGCAGCTGATTCTACATCATGCTGTCAAAATATTGTTTATACCCAAGCGGATGTTAGCTGCTCAAGTCTAATGTCAAAAATTCACATAATGGATTTTTCACAGCCAACTTGAGAAGCAGCTAATATCCAGCTGGTCTGACTGGATGACTTTGTTAATAGGTCTTGTTCCCAATTAAACCAAGGTCTGTTAATAAGGTCATCCAAAAAGCAAAAACAGATGTTTTTTCTCAAGTTTATTGTCAGAAATTTAACGTTATTTACGTTTTCATAATGTAAAGTCAAATCACAATAATGAATATTGACAGCCTACTTGAGAAGCTGCTGACATGCTGCTGATCTTCCTAGAGCTTGAAAAATTTATAGCATGATTATAATTTACATAGTTGTCATTCTTTTCTGGTTGCCTAAAATTATTCCATATGTTTTCTAATTTATTATCCAAACTTTTTATTTATTTCCTGCAGGTAATATCCTTAGAAGGTTGGACAGATATTATGTACTATGTACAGGATGCGCACAGTTTTTGGGATTGGATCTATTTTGTGCTATTAATTGTTGTAAGTATTCAATTTCAAACTCTATTTTCTCCCAAAAAATAAAGATAATCTCAAACAAGAACACATTTCAATTCTGAGTTGTAATTTTCTATGGAAAAAGATTCCTCAGATTCCTCTGAGGTGTCTTTTTTATAGAAAAAGTTTCTCAAATCCTTTTGAGTTGTCTTTTCCTATAGAAAAAGTTCCTCACTCCCTCTGAGGTGTCTTTTTCTATAGAAAAAGTTCCATAGGTCCCTTTTGAAGTATCTTTTTATAGAAAAAATATCCGCAGACCTCTCTGAGGAGTCTTTTTGCTATAGAAAAAGTTCCTCAGATACATCCGAGGTATCTTTTTCTATAGAAAAAGTTCCTCAGATACATCAGAGGTATCTTTTTCTATAGAAAAAGTTCCTCAGATCGCTCTGAGGTGTTTTTTCTATAGAAAAAGTTCCTCAGATCGCTCTGAGGTGTCTTTTTCTATAGAAAAAGTTCCTCAGATCGCTCTGAGGTGTCTTTTTCTATAGAAAAAGTTCCTCAGATACCTCTGAGGTGTCTTTTTCTATAGAAAAGGTTCCACAGATGCCTCTGAGGTATCCTTTTTCAAAGACTTCTTAGTTCTGTAAAATCTGAACACAGTTTTCTCTATTATAGGTTAGGTTCATGTTGAATATTAACTTTAAATGCAAATATGTCAAAATTAGTTCCAATATATCCGAAACTATTGGATATATCGGAAATATTTAAAAATGTAAATAACTTTAAATGCAAATACGTCAAAATTATGTGATGTTTCCAATGTGATGCCATTCCCTGAAATGAAATAAAAATATAAAATTAGTGTTTGTATCTAAAACAAAGAATAAAAATTTCAAAAATACGGTTTCATGAAAACTAAAAGGTTCCAGATATATTGAAACCCTTTTCAAAGCTATGTTTATTGTCATACCTCCAAAGAATCGGCTTGCTCTTGAGCAAAGAAGTTCAAAAGAACTATTCCATAAAAGGAACGATCGGTACTAGTTCAAGTTCTTTCATTATTCTAGTTACTTTCGTTCCAGTCGTTCCTTTTGCTCTCGTTACTCTCTTAGTTCTTTTTAATGCAATCGTTCATTTAGATCTTTCAAATTAGCCAATAATCGGTTGAACTAAAATGTAAGGAAATTAGGAAAACAACATATTGTACCTCAGTATACTTGTTGTAACGCCATTGAGAATAAATGCCATTGCTAATTAAATGCTGATTCTATTGTAAGACATATTTTTTTATGAACTACTTGAACTAATTCTACATAGCCGAATCTCAATCGCACAATACTTTTATCATTAAATATTTGTTCGAATAATAGAATTTGATCTGTGGAGAATTTTTAATCTGTCTGATGATATCTTCGCCATAAATATTCCTCAATTCCTACTAGGATTTCTATAGGTCTATTTTATAAGAAAATACTGTCGTCCGAGGTATAAATTCCATTCGACATGAATCCGTCCCAAACTTGTTCCTTTTGTTGAGCGAACCGAAAAAGATCGAACCATTTCAGAAACAATATTACCTAATTCTAGTAATTTCCGGTCTTTTCGCCCCAACAAATGGAAACTCAGCTATTATTTCCAATTTGTAGTCTCTTAAACAAAAAAGGATTATGCAAATGAAACTCCAGCCAGTCCCTTGTCAAAATCCTACAATGCATAATTTCTTTTCAGGGAACTCTCTCTTTCTTTTCCTAAACGCTTCATTTCATAAACTCACAAGAAATATTTCTTTGAGAACTTGCCATGGCAGGTGGTGGGTGTGGTGACTTGTTGAATGAATTGTTCCTTAATATCGAACAAAACAGCTCTCCATTATACTGGCAAAGTCAAAAGGAAAAGCAATCATTGAATTCAAATTGTATGTATTGGAGGCAAACAAAAAACAAGAAAAGAAAATGCTTTTCAACGCCTTCTACACACATTCCTATGAACAAACCATCTACGAGTAAGCCCATAACCATGTGGGTAGGTGTAAATATGGCTGAGACGACAAAAGGAAAAACTTTTTTCCATTTCCCCATAAAGTTTTTGGATTTGCTAAGCAAAAGTATGTGATTTGAATGCTGATGAAGCAACAGCATAGACGCGAGAACAAGAAAAATCTTTATAAAGTTCAAGAATGTTCGCATGTATGTAAGTCGATGGCATACCCTTAGATTTCCATTGTTGTCATCCTCAATGCTGGTGAACGAACACATTTGCAAATGAAAAAGTTCCAAAACCATTTTCCAAGTACCATGAATATTGTAAACTTCAACGATGAATTGAATAAATCGGCTGGAACATCGTTGGAAACAAGACTGGCTGACTGACAGGCAGACAGACAGACAATGCCGAAAAGGACTAGCGTCACGACCATTACCACAACACTTAGGGGATTAAACTGTGAACACTGCCAGCACTGAGACACAAAGGAATTGAATTGAAAATCATAAAATATGAATGTGTAATCATTACGGCAAAAGGGTTTGAATTTGTAATGGAAGAAAAAAAGAAAAACGAAAGGAAAAGAAAATCCTCCTCAAGAATAAAAATAAACCCGAAACACGTGAATAAATAATTTTTAACTTAGAAATAAATTAACATCATTTTTTATATTCCTCTTACAGATCGGTTCATTTTTCATGATCAATCTCTGCCTTGTCGTCATTGCCACCCAGTTTAGTGAAACGAAAAAACGCGAAATGGAACGTATGCGCCAGGAACGGGCCCGCTACACCTCCACCTCTACACTGGCCTCCAGCACGAATAATTCCGAACCGGCCACATGTTATGCGGAAATCGTGAAATATATTGCACATCTGTGGCGCCGCTTCAAACGACGAATGATAAAGAAGTACAGATTATATAAGTATGCTCGATGTATTTTCGATTTTTCTTAATTATTTTTTCAGTTTTTCTGTTTTTGATTTCCGTTTTTTGGTTTGAACTTGTGTTCTCTTGTAAAACCTTACCTTACCCCCCCACCCGTGGACATCATAGCCAATGAAACACAGCACTATTGACAAAACAAGAATATTCAGCATACACATATATATCCTAATTATATAACAATAACAACAAAATAACCTATATTAAAACAAAATTTTAATTTTGAATTTCAAAATTCCAAATACCACTAGCTTCCATTGCAAAAAAACTGTTTTCCTTCCTAAAAATACATAATTTTATAGCTTACCCAAAAATAAATTAGTTTTCTAGAATAATCTTGTTGCGGAACCAACTACTTCAAAGGAACTATTCCGGAAAAGGAACAATCGGTACTACGTCCCTTTCGTTCATCTAGTTCCTTTTGTTCTAGTCCTTCCTTTTTGCTTTCGTTCACCAAGTTCCTTTTGATCCAATCGTTCATTTAAATCTTGATAGATGGATCTTGATTTGCACTCTCTGATATTTTTACCGATAACTTTGGAATTTGAACAGATAGAGAATAATGACTTAAAAATAATTTAAGGCCACATTCTTCCTCTTTTTGAATCTCTTTGTTTCACAGAAAATTACGGAATATTTCAAGAGTTATGGTCCGATGAATAATATCATCCAAAATATTCAAAGACTGAAAAAAATCATGTAGTCTGATTTTTTCCCAATAACTCTAATATATTCATATACAGGAAAATGATTTAAGTAGGGTTTGAAGAACTAGTCTTCCTCTTTGAGAATCCATTTATTTCATTAAAATATTTCAATTATTTCAAAAGTTATGTCCCGAGCAGGAACATTACGAAAAACCTGATATAAGGGGAAAATTTTTCGTATTCAGATATTATTTCCTATTACTCTGTTATATGATCAGTTGCAGAAAAATTTTTAAAATATGAATTAAAATACCCTATCGGAATCAATTTATTTCACGGAAATATTCCAAGTATTTCAAAAGTTATGTCCCGAGGAAGAGCATTACTGAAACCCTGATATAATGAGGAAATTTTGCGTACACTAATATTTTTACCTATAACTCTGTTAAATAATCAGTTACCGAAAAGTAGTTAAAATGTAATCTAAAGCACTAGTCTTCCTCTTTCTGAATCCATTTATTTTACGGAAATAGCCCGAATATTCTAAAAATTAGGACCCGATGAATAATATTACCCAACATATGCAAAAGCTATAATACATTTCGTACTGTAATATTTTTGCCGATAACTCCAAAATTTTATAAGTTGCAGCAAAATATTTCAAATATAATTTAAAGTTCCAGGCTTTTTCTTTCAGATTCCATTTATTTCACAGAAATAACCCGAATAGTTGAAAAGTTATGACCCAATGACTAATATTACCGAAAATATGCCAAAGCTGGAATAAATTTCGTACTCTTATATTTTAATCGATAACTCCAAAATTCGATCAGTTACAGACAATATGTTCAAATGTGAATTAAAGAACTAGGCTTCCTCTTTCAGAATCCATTTATTTCTTAAAAATATTCCGACTCATTTCAAAAGTTATTATCCAATGAATATCATTACCCAAAATATGCAAAGACTGGCATAATTTTCGTACTCATATATTTTTGCCGATAACTCCAAAATTCCATCAGTTAAAGGTAAATGGTTTGAATATAATCTGAAGTACTCAAGTACTCAAAAGTTATGACCCAATGACTATTATTACCTAAAATAAGCCAAATCTGGGATAAATTTAGTACTCTGATATTTTTATCGATAACTCCAAAATTCGATAAGTTACAGAAAATAGGTTCAAATGTGAATTAAAGTACTAGGCTTCCTCTTTCTGAATCCATTTATTTTTATGGAAATAATCGGAATATTTATTTCAAATTTATGATCCCATGAATAATATTACCCAAACTATGCAATTTTCGTACTCTGATATTTTTGCCGATAACTCAGATATTTTGTAAGTTACATAAAAATGGTTCGAATATGATCTCAAGTATTAGTCTTCTTCTTTCAGAATCCATTTATTTCATATAAATAATCCAAACATATAAAAAGTTATAGCCCAATGAATAACATTACTAGAAATATGCAAAAACTACGATAATTTTCGTACTTTGATATTTTTACCGATAACCCTGATATTCGATAGGTTACAGAAAAATACTACAAATAGAATACACAATACTCGCCCTCTTCTATCAGAATCGATTTGTTTCACTATAATATCCCCAATATCTCAAAAGTTATAATTTGAAAAATATAGAAGAAATTATTTCTTCTTTAAAAACGAATGAGCATTTAATTCTGGCCTCAAGATATTTTCTTCATACTGCCCATATTTTTCGGTAGTTTCGACTAGATATGAAATTCTTTTTTAAATTCAAATAACTTTAAATGCAAATACGTCAAAATTCCAATGTTTCCACCACGAATTCCTTTCAAAATTCAAATAACTTTAAATGCAAATACGACAAAATTTGATGGCTCCAGTTTAAATCCTTTTCCATGTTTCTCTTCGAATCCCTGAAAATAAATAGAAAAAAAGAAATGTTAATAAAATTATGTACAACAAAGGAAACAGTTTTTTATACCACAACACTGCTAATAAAACTAACCAAGCAAAACATTAGGAAAATTCCACACCTTAATTCGAAATTAATGCCATGGAAAAATTAACCGAAACTATAAACCCCTGACAAGCATATTTATATTGGGGCTATGGAGTTGTGATAATTTTTATGAGAGGAATTTGAAATCGTTCTCAAAAAGTTTCTCGTTTTCAATTCACCCGTTACCTCTCAACAAAATTATCAAACTCCTTTGCCCTGATTTGTATATAACACAACTAAAAATCGTATAGCAACAGTCCTTTTAATATAACCAAGTATATTACCTAGAGTAGAGCTTCAAAATTTATTTTTTCTATAACAAAAAAAAATATGCTGCCTCCTCTTTACTACTAACCTATAGCCGGAAACTGGAAAACAAAAAATTCTTATTTTTTTAAAAAATTTTCCCCAAAATCCAAAAATATTTTAATGGGATCGATAAAACAAACAAAAAATCGTAACTAATGGATCATAGTTTCATCGTCAATGTTCAGTGCTATATATTTATTATAGAATAGATTATGCAACCAAAAAATTAAAAATTAAATCAAACCATTGTTGCAATTTTACATTTTCCGTTTCCCATTATGAATTTAAGTTTGTCTTTCCTTAACTAAATTCAGTTAGTTTTGTTAACGTACTTTGATTTATGGCATACTGTGTGCTAATCTTGATTTTGCATGTCTTGGCAAAAATATGATTTTGAAGCTGAGTTGGAAATTTCAGAAAAAAAATAGCTTAGCTTAGAACTGCATTTGTCACAACATACCGAACCACCAACACCATCACCCTCACAAATACCAACTAAGATCAGTGATTCTGCCATGTGTCACCCTACATGCATGTCTCTCTCTCTCTCTCTGTTAGCCTCCATTTATTTCTAACCTCAATATTTGAGGTCTCCATTCAATCCTCATTAGTTAGTAATGCTGAAATGTTGATTTGAAGCAAATGAAAAAAAAAATCCAAGATCTAATTTTTTGTCATAAAATATTGTAAAGATGTCATCTTTACAAAATTGTTTTTTCTTAGTTAATTTTTTACAAAATCTAGAAGTTTTACTAATCCCCGGTTTTGTTTGTTCTCCAAAAAACAACACCCCTTCCATTCTATGGCAGATATCAACAACAACAACGCAAGGAAGGCCTATTGCCAAATGCCGATAATCTAACATTTTCACCATCCCGCATTAAATGTCATCATCCGAAATGCCCCAAATATCCTGGACCACCCCGAAAACCTTCCAACATTCAGGATCAAATGATAACGGTTATGGTACCGCTGAATTCCAACAATAATTTAAGTGGCAACAACAATAATCACAACGCGCAGCCACAACAAATGGCAGCCGGTACAAATATGCAACAAGCTCAACAGCAAGCGGGTCAGCAACAGCGTTCAAGTTCCACCACCACAACTACCCAAACCCCAATGGCCTTAATAAATGGTCTCAACAATGGCAATAATTCGCAGACAGCGCGCCATCATTCGTCGTCGGAAAATTCTGTACAATCGCTGGACAATGGTTCCGCGGCAGGTATTAAGAATGGCAGTGGCGATAACAAAAGAATACAAAATCCGACTAAGGCAGAGACGGAGTCTTTGATGGGGAAACAACAGTTACAGGTTGTGCCGAGTCAGCAGCAGCCACCATCGCAGCAACAGAAAACAATTCTATTGAAATTTCCACAAAATTTAATGGAAACTGATCAGCTGATTGTGAGTATTGCCACATTTTTTTTCTAGATAAAAACAATTTGCTGAAAAAGATTTCAAATAAATGAAATAAACTTTTAAAAACTATACCGCCGACACACTCCTAAGATAGCAGACGAAATGTCCAACTCTGGGCGTTTCCTAAGATTTAAGAAATACCAGATTTGGGTTGTTGCGAAACGAACTGATTCCATTTGTTCCATGATCTATCAATAAGGTTAGCCAGCAAGCGAAAGTCAGCTGTTTTCTATTTCTCAAGTCTAATGTCAAGAATTTGTACTTTGTTTACGTTTTCATAACGGAAGACAATTCACAAATTTGAAACGTACAATAAAAAAATAGTTCGAACAAAACTTAAAGTACTAACCTCCCTCTTTCAGAATCCATTTATTTCACTAAAATATTCCAAGTATTTCAAAAGTTATGTCCAGAGGAAGAACTTTACGCAAAGACGGTGATAAGGGGACAATTTTTGGTACTCTGATATTTTTACCTATAACTCTCGTATATGATCAGTTACAGAAAATTAATACATATATAATCTTAAGTACAAGTCTTCCTCTATCGGAATACATTAATTTCGTGAAAATATTCCGAGTATTTCAAAAGATATGTCACGAATAAATATATTACGTTGAGCAGGATATCAGTAGAAAATTTTGAGTACTCTGATATTTTAACCTATAAGTGTGTTATATGGTCACTTACAGAAAAATAATTAAAAAATGAATTAACGTACTGGGTTTTCTCTTTCAGAATACATTTATTTCATAGAAATATTCCGAGTATTTCAAAAGTTATGTCCGAGGAAGAACTTTATGCAAAGTGTGTGATAAGTGGACAATTTTGCGTACTCCGATATTTTTACCTATAACTCTGTTATATGATCAGTTACAGAAAAAAAGTTCAGATATGATTTAAAGTACTAGGCTTCGTCTTTCCGAATCCATTTATTTCACGTAAATAAACCGAATATTTCAAAAGTTATGATCCGATGAATAATACCCAAAAAATGTAAAGAGTGGCATAATTTTGGTACTTTAATATTTTTGTCGATAACTCCAAAATTTTATCAGTTGTAGAAAAAGAATTCAAGTGTAATTAAAAGTACTAGTTTTCCTCATTCCGAATACATTTATTTCACTGAAATAACCCAAACATATCAGAAGATATTACTCAATGACAACATTATCCAAAAATTGCAAAAAAAACATGATTAAAGATCTTGCGATGATAACTCAGATATTCGATCAGTTACAGAAAAATAGTTCAAATATTGTTTAAAGTACTAGTCATACTCTTTCAGAATCTATTTATTTTACAGACATAACCCACACATATCAAAAGTTACGACCCAATGAATAACATTACCAAAAATAAGCACAGACTAGCATATTTTTCGTACTCTAATATCTTTGCCGATAACTCTGATATATGATCAGTTACAGGAAAATAATTTAAATATGAATTAAGGTATTGGGCTTCCTCTTTCAGAATCCATTTATTTCACAGATATAACCCGAATATTTCAAAAGTTATGATCCAATGACTAATAATACCTAAACTATGTCAAAGCTGGAATAAATTTGTAATCTGATATTTTTGCCGATAAGCCTAATATTCGATCAGTTACAGAAAAATAGTTTCAATATCATTTTAAGCACTCGTCTTTCTCTTTCAGAATACTTTTACTTCACGGAAATAACCCGGTTATTTCACAAGTTATGACCCGATGAATAATATTACACAAAATATGCCAAGATTGGGATAATTTTTGTACTCTGACATTTTTGCCGATAACTCTGATTTTTCGATCAGTTACATATAAAGAAATCAAATATAATTTAAAGTACTAGTCTTCCTCTTTCAGAATTCATTTGTTTTGCAAACATGTCCCCAATATTTCAGCTGTTTTTTTTTTTAGTCTAATGTCAACAATTTGGACTTTGAGTTTTCATTCTGAAAGTCAATTCACAGCAATGGATTTTGACGGCAAACTTAAGAGGCAGATAATATCCATCTGATCATTTAATGTGAAATATGAATTGGCGCCCAATGAAGAGACACTCAAAAGAAAGAGTATTCTCCACAAAAATTAACTTTAAATGCAAATACGTCAAAATTTTATATTCTTATATTCAATATCTTCAATTCTCTACACATCGAAGCAATTTTTTCAGGTATCATAGCCTTGGAGCTCATATCTGAAAAATAAATCAATTAGTTTATTAACGTTTTCTATATAAAATTTCATTTTAAGGTTGAGTTCCGCAATTGAAATGGATCTCATCTATACACTCATATCTTAAAATCCGAGTTTAACAATTGTTTTTTTTTCATCATCTGTACAAAACTAATTACACCAGGACCCAAAACTAACACCTGCTCTCTGTCAGCGCAATTTTCTTCACACCCATAATTGATATAATGAAAATAGACATTCACTTACACTATACAAAAATATCGGAGCCGGAAATTAGGCGTTCCGTCCGACACTAATTCACACCTATTTTTTATTGGTGATAAAAAATTTACACAGTATTCTTTACGAATTCTACTCCAAAAAAATTACATTCAACAAAATCCAACACACTTGAGGGAGAGTATTTTAATTGAGAATAAACACTTAACTCTCTCTCCATTCATCTTTCCAACTCTCTGTTATGTATATAGCCTTTGAGAGAACATTTTAAATTTAACTAAGAATTGTTTCTCTTTTTGCCTTTCCTATAAAAAAATTCTAACCAAACAGCTCCAGTTGGGAACTCTAGGCAAGGTATTAACCGAATACTTCTCATTTGTTTAATTTTCATAATTCAAATCAATCTTTAATCAAATCCTTACTCCTTATGTGTAAATAAAAAAACATTAGAAATTCGATTTTATCCTGGCCATTTGTAAATATTTTCCTTGAAGATATTCCCCTACTTTTGAAAATAATAAATAAAAAAATTAACAACAAAAATTTGCTATTCCTTTCAATATGTAAATTTTGATTTAAAAAAGATTTTGGTAATAAAAATATTCCCAAACATTTTATAGACTCATCCCTGTACCTCGGGCTTTTTGAGTCCACCAACGGCTGGCAGTCGCCGTCCCTCGGTTATGTTCAACGAATATGTTTTATTGCATACCCCACCCGCATTGAAGGAGGCAGCGCCGGCCACCACAGAGAAATCGGTGTGTTCTTCGGAGAAAATGACTCAGGCTGGAGATGGTAGTATTTGGCAGGTAATTTATTTTACTATTACAAAATATTTATAAATTTGATTTAACATTGAATTCAATTTCAGGTCAACTTACCCCAGACCCTGGCTAGCATTGCCAACCCCTATGCGGACTGTTCAGATTTGGGTATACACGACGCGATGACTTGTCAAGAGCTTTTAGCATTTTCTGTGGCATTTTCAGCAGCCCTGCCAACGGGACAAAGTACTTTGGAATCGTTTTACTCCTCGTTGGCGCGTTGTGATCCCCACACGGCGGAAGCGATAAAAAATCAACAAAATCTGGAAAACTCCAAGCAGCAACAGGCCCAACAAATTGCCCAACAGCAACAGCAATCGCTACCAGCCACCCAACATCGTGGCAAACACAAAGGTGGTGATGGCCATCACAAAACCTCCAATGGTGGGACGGTTCGTGGCGAACGTGATGCCAAAACCAATACCGGCAATTACATAGAAGACTATTCCTGCTGTTATGATCTCTATCAGAATGCCCTCTCACCGTTGGATGAGAAGAAAAAGAAAAAACGTTCCAAGGTGATGAATACCATTATAACGGTATATCGTTGCGTATGGCGTGTCTGCAGCATTGCCCGGCGTTATGTCAAACGTTTGGTCGAGCATAAATATTTCCAGCAAGGTATCCTATTGGCCATACTCATCAATACCCTATCCATGGGTATAGAATATCACAATCAGCCCGAGGAATTGACGGTCATTGTGGAGACAAGCAACATTGTGTTCTCGGCAGTGTTTGCCGTGGAAATGTTACTCAAGGTGGTGGCCGAAGGACCATTTCGTTATATAGCCAATGGTTTTAATGTGTTCGATGGTGTCATTGTGATCTTAAGGTAGGTCGGAAATAAATTTCTAACATGATCTAAAAATTTTGTATTTGATTCCCTAGTGCCATTGAAATATGCCAACAATTTTTGGGTAATGGCACCGGTGGCGGTGGTTCCGGCTTGTCGGTTTTGCGTACCTTCCGTCTGCTGCGCATTTTAAAACTGGTACGTTTTATGCCCAATTTGAGACGTCAATTATTTGTCATGCTGCGCACCATGGACAATGTGGCTGTGTTCTTCTCCCTCTTGGTCCTGTTCATATTTATATTTAGGTAAGTTTTTTCCATGCAAAGAGAAAAAGAAAAAAATTTAACACAAAAACAATGATATCCTGCTGCCTTCAGGGTTGTATTTAATTTTAACACAAAAAAAAAATATATTCATATAAGATTTCTTTCCTTGTACAAAATCTAACCTAATGAAAGAAAATATCTAGAGACTGCCTTGTAAGAAAACTCCTCATTTTAACATTGCAAGAAAACTAATAATAAATGCAAAAAATCACAAATCAGTAACTTATAAAAATAGTACTTAAGGTGTCCCCCTATTTCCCCTTTATTGTCCTCTCTGCAGAACAAATATTAAATTAAGAACTCTGTGTGTATATATAATAAAATCACAAAAGTTTCTGGTATGACTTGAACGAGCATGAATATTTTTTTTTAATGAAATGTTTACTCCTAATCCTAATACGATGGTTTTTACTTCTTAATTTTTCCTTAAATATAAAGTGAATGCCACGATGAAATGATAGTGTGTACTCTCCTTAATAGTGCGGTCAGCTGATGCTATAAAAACAGCTAATACATATTGGCACCTTATATTTTGGCGTGCGACATCTACAGAAAAATCGTTTTCCCAACCTAAAAACTATTTGAAATTCTTTTTTTCAATTAAATAAACAAATTTTGTGTTCGAATGAATTAAATCGTAACGGAGAAAACCAAAATGGCGCCCAATATTCACATAATTAAATAACTTTAAACGCAAATACGTCAAAACAAAACGTCTCCCAACGGGGAATCATATATCAAACTGGTACAGTATTCTCTGTAGTTTTCCCCTGAATAAATCTTGGATTCAGTAAAGATTGGCGCCAAATCTGAGAGGGTTTCAAATTCTCCAATTTCACAAAATGTTTAATAACTTTAAATGCAAATATGTCAAAATAAAATATCAACAAAAATTATATTCTTAAAATTTAGAGTTTTTCAAATATTCACACAAATGGCGCCCAATCTTCACACAATTGAATAAGTTAAATTGCAAATACCTCAAAACACGATGTCTTCCAGCTGAGAAACAAATATCAAACTGGCGGCTTTCACTAGAGTTTTCCCCTGATCAAAACTTGTATCTTATAATCATTGGCGCCCAATCTGAAAAGGTTTCAAATTCTTCAGCTTCGCAAAATTTTGAATAATTTTAAATGCAAATATGTCAAAATTAATTATCAAAAAAAATTGCTTTTACCAACTGATTCCCCTCTCCTTCCATGATCGTTACAAGTCATACCAGAAACTTTTTATTGTAGTTAATTTCTCTTCCCCACCCATATAATGAAACAAAAGTAGCATAGCGAAACTGTATATTAAAAACTAATATAGACATAAAATATTGTTAGGTACTAAATTGGCCTATTAGGTTGCATAGTCATTCACTAAAATTTATTTGTATACCTCATGGTCCCTTTCTCCTAATCCAAACTCCAAACTAAACATGGAATAGGGTCTCTAAAACATAATAATTCCCTTTTTGAGATTAACGCATATCTGTAACATCCCATAATCCTTCCTAATCACAAACATGCATACAGAAACTATCACACATTTTCTACTACTACTTCTAAAAACTTTCATACTCCAAAAAAAAATTTTCATTAATTTAAAAAAAAATCCTTCAAACAATTGTAGTCTTTTTACATTTCAACTTATTCATTTCCTTCAAAAAACTTTGTGGATTCCAAATTTCTTTATAAAATTCTCCAGAAATTCCCCAAAGTGTTGCCCTGTCTTTCTCTCTCAATTCTCTATGGTATTTTATTCTCAGAAATTGTGTAATAAAAAGAGCATTAAGAATATACACATTTTACTCACCAGCATTTAAGAAACGTTTTCACTCTCTCTGTCACCAACACACACAAGGTCCCTCCACTTTTGCTCTGTGATATGGAACACAAATTCTGTTTTATATGGAACACCTTCGTGATGCTTTGAAACTCTCACTAATCCAATAAAAAAATAATACTTACACCATTTTGTCTTTGAGCATTATCTCTCTTTCTCTCTCGATCTCTCTTTGACTGATTGTCTGAGTCACAAAAATTTGCTGCATTTGGAATTTTACAACACCATTTACACCTACTCACACATCCTACACCCAAAACACACATTATTATATCAATTTTATATTATATCCCCATATATCTGTCCTATCCTCTATAACACCGATCTTATTGTTTTTAATTATTCCCATCACAACAATTCTGCTCCTTGTAACACCCCAAAACATATTTGGCAAACCCATTATTTGTATTTTCACACACTCTCTCGCTCTCTGTCTGTCTTAATCTCTCCTCTGGTAACACAACTAATACTCGTAACAATCTCTAATCTCTCTCTCGTATTAAAAAAACTCAGCTCAAATTCACTGCTCATTTTAGTTCCATTTCAAAACAAAAAGTATTAACTAATATTGAATTTGTGTGTAATTTTTTCTAGCTTTAGATTTAGCTTTCTATCGTAAAATACCGTGATAAATAAAACTGAGTAATAAATGAATTTATTTTTTCAAAAAAAAAAAAAACAAATCTAAATATAAATAAAACATAAAATGTTATTTGGAAATAACCTACGATTGATTGGCTTGCCGATTTTCTGAAAGCAATGTAGAGTGTACTGGCGACATACCAAGTTGATAACCTAACCCATAGTTAGATATATAGCTTAGATCATTGTTGTAACTTCAAGTAAAAGTAGTTTTTCTATTTGAAATTCATATTTTCCAGTTCAAAACAAATAAATTTCTTCGATTACTATCGTTTATTGTTATAATTTATTGACATCTAAACTATTAGTACCGTTATTTCTACATACTTGCTATTTTGAAAGGGTTGATCACATTGTAAGATATGTTTAATTGTGACTCTCAATGAACGAAAGTCTTAAAGAGGATAGCACATAAAAGGATTTCGTTACTACATAATAAGCAACTTAAAGACGCTTGCCTAAAATCCTTTTATGTGTCTTCGCCTTAAAAGAACGATTCCCTATTCAAAGCTTCCGTAAAATCAGCTGATACATGTCGACACCTTCATTTTTGGCGTGTGGCAACAAAAAGAATATTTTTAACAAAATATCAATTTTTGTTTATTTATTTTTTTTAATTAATAAAAAATAGTTTTATATTAATAAAATAAATACAGAAAATTTTTTTTGAGAACAAAAAACAAAAAAGATGTCCTCATTATAAATTAATAATAATATAAATTGAATTTCACGCTGAAATGATAGTGTGTACTCTCCTTAATAATACATTTCTTTGTCAGTTGATGCTGTAAAAACAGCTGATACATGTTGACACCTTAATTTTTGCCGTATGACATCAATAATAACATTTTTTAAACAAAATAACGATTTTTGTATATTTTTTCAATTAAATAAAAATAGCTTTATATTGATAAACTAAATACAATAATATCTAAACATATTTTTAGAAATAAATAACATTTGTATATTATATTTTAATATTAATATAAAGTGAATGTTTCGCTGAAATGATAGTGTGTGCTCACCTTAATAATACGGTTCTTTGTTAGTTGCTGATGTAAAAACAGCTGATACCTGTTGGCACCTTATATTTTGGCGTGCGACTGCAAAAATGAAATTGTCTTTTCAACAGAAAAACTTTGAAATTCTTCTTTCAATTTTTAATTCTTTTCAAGTAATTAAATAAACCTTCAACTCGTTTACATAATAAAAATAACTATTACCAATAATAAACCATATCGTACAATGTGATCACATCTCTTTTTCTGTTATCGATAAATGTTTCTATTCTATCATTACAAACTACTACTAATTAACTAATTATTTAACATTCGTTTACAATTACTTATTGCTGCTTCTTGTTGCAAAATAAGTATTCAAAAACAAATTTTATTATATATATAGAAAGTTTCCTTTACACATATATATTTATAAAAAAAACAAAAAAAAACAAAAATATAAAAAATATAATAAATATTAATATTAAATAACACTTTTTCATAAATACGAAATATAAATAAATTTTATTTTCTTATAATTATTTCATTTATATGCCTAATAAATATATAACACCTACGCCATATTTGCATGTTTATTATTTATACATTGCATATTTTTATTAAACAATTTATTTTCAATTTTACTGCAACTAATTGATAACAAAAGGGCTAAGCTAATTTTATGGGTTAAAATATGAAAAAACATACTTGTATTTACGTTTACAATGGATAATTTAATTGCGAATACAACTCTGATTTGAAAATAGATTTCATAAATGTGGATAGACTTCTAAATTATCTAGTTAAATGTTAACTAAAATTGCAGGTTTTTAAAAAACTTTAAAAAATACAATTTACTCGCAGCAGAAATTTTCCACTTATATATCTAAAGTGTTTTAAAAAATCTCGTCATTTATATTGTCAATTGTCGTCTGATCTCCTCATACTATCGAGTTGAAATAATTTATAAATAAAAATACTATTTAATATTTTATTTCAAGTGATTATATTTTGTAATTACTGTATGAGCGAAATATTTGTATTAAAACGAGAATAAAAATATCTTTGGTATAAAGGCATTTCAATGAAACACGTCATTTAAAGCGTGTTTCTATAAAGCACGTACTTTGTTTCCTGTTTTTTTTTTTTTTTTTTTTGTCCTATCATCCCCTCGCCACTTTTGTTAAAATTCATTAAAAGCGTGTTTACAATACACGCCTTCTAAATCGACTCGATTTCTAATCCGATGTATTAAATCCTAACTGTTTAGACTAGTATTTAAATGATATACAGTCAGTCAGCTGATTTTTGTTTACAAATATATACACATTTCTAATGGACAGTATTTTCATAATTCTAATACGAATTAAAGTACGTTTAGATTTACAAAATCCACTAGATCTCAAATGTCAATTCCATAGCATAAACGTCAAATATGATCCACTGGATTTGTTAACATGATTAAGGTGACATTACGCTATGGAATTCACATTTTTTCTAATCCGATATACTAAATCCTGGCTGTTTAGACTATTATTTAAATGATATACAGTCAGTCAGCTGATTTTTGTTTATGTATACATACAAGGCCTATTAAAATGGTCATCCAGGGAGAACAGCTGGATATCAGCTGCTTCTCAAGTTTGTAGTCAAAATCCATTATTCTGAATTGACTTTTATTATGAAAACGTTAACAAAGTCAAAAATTTTGAAATTAGACTCAACAACAAAAAACAGCTGACTTTCGCTTGCTGGGTGATTTTATAGATTTTGGAATACATACAAATTTCTGGCCAGTATTTTCATAAAATGCATCTCCACATTAATATTAAGCTTAAATTAATTAAGCTTAAATCTTAAATCGCCTTAATGTTTACATCAAATGTGGTTTAATAAAACACAAAATTTATATTGTCAGATACAGTGAATGTATTGTTTACATCAAATGTGGTTTAATAAAACAATTTATATAAATAAAGCGAATGTTTTGAGGTGACTGTTTACATCTGTGTCCGTCATTAAATGGTTTTTTATTTAAAAAAAAAAACATAAAATAATAAAAGTAATTTAGATATTATTTTTTACATCAATTGTCATTTATATATTAAATTTTAAAAAATCTTTGATTTGGATATAAAAAATAAAAAGTAGGCCTTATCTCCCAAAATCTAAAAATCTTATCACCATAGAATTGCTTAGCCCTTAAAAATAACTAAAAAACGCTAAATCTACTTCAAAATATGCTATTTTCAAACATATATATCTCTTCTTCTTGTTCTCTCTCTCTTTCTTTTCCAAAACTTTCCGCCACCTAACTTTCCTCTCCATCACAAAAATTACTAAAACTAAATTAAAAATTAAAATTAATTCATTTAAAAATAAAAATTTAAAACAAAATTTTCATAACTAAACACCAAACTAAAAAAAATAAATGTTTAAACAAAAAAACAAATATTTATATATTAAAAAATTATGTTTATTTATTTGTTAAAATTACATAACTATTATGTATATGTTTCTCATTATATATAAAACTTTCAAATAATTATATTATTTTTATCAAAAAAATATGACAAAAAATTACTAATCGAAAAAAACGTAAAATAATACGTAAACCAAATAATTATTTTTCATATAATATGATTCGATTCTGAAAAAAAAAAACCAAAAAAACAACAACAAAACAAACGAATCGTAAATGAATTATTATAGTATACTTGGCATGAATCTATTTGGATGTAAATTCTGCGAAACAATTGACTCGGACCGGATATGTGATCGCAAAAATTTCGACAGCCTGCTGTGGGCGCTGGTCACAGTGTTTCAGGTAGATGATCAAAGTTAATTACAAAATAAAAAATCAAAAACAAACAGTAAATAACACAACAAATAATGCTTATATAAAATAAATAGCAATATATATACTATATTTCATTGCCTACATACATCTATATATATATAATAAACATGATATAATCTATCACTTAAAACTATATTTAAAAAACAAATCCATAGTATTTTTAACCAAAAAAAAATTTTTAAATACTTTTAAAACTTTCACTATATAATTATTTTGCTATATATTTTGTTTTTGATTTCGATTTTTTATTTTTAAATAATTTTGTTTTAAGTTTTAGGTTAAGTTTGGCTTTATTTTTATTTTTTTCTTTGTTGTCTTTCTTCTTTAAGTGTTCTCTGTCCTTTGAATGAGTGTGATAAATGTCATTTTTGTTGTTAATTTTTGGCATGTAAATGTGCCTAGCCACGGACTGTGAATGATTGGACCTTATCCCATTTTTTCCATTATTTTTTTTTCAGTTAGTATCTTACTAACCTCCCAACCCAGTAAACAATTCCCAGTCTTTCTTTTTTTAGTTTGCTTGTTTATGCTTTGTTTTTAATTTTTTTAGTTTCGAAGGGCTTGAATTTTAATTTGTGGTGTGTTCTGTGTACAAGACCAACAAAAAAAAACTGAAAACAATACGTGAAATTAACGCCAACAATAAAGATAATAAATACAGTGCTACGAATTCAACTAGGTTTTGAACTAGTTTGTTTAGACCATTTAGAAGCCGTGCCATAGAATTTCAAATCTCCTCTCCTCCCCCTACCAAAAGTAGTTAGTTGAATTCTCCTTTCTCCCCTATAAACATAATGCTTTAGTTCTGGACAATTAGTATGAATGAATGTAGGTATAAACAAAACCGAAAAATTAAGCTCAATCTAAACCAGGTAAGTAAAATGTTTTTAAATACAAATTAAAGCATGTTCAAATAATTTAAATTACAATTGGTATTGCTTGCTGTATTTAATTTTTTAATTGAATAAATTTCATGTAATAGTTGTTTGCATGTAATGTCATCTAAATCCATGTGCATCCATTTAAATGTTTTCATAATTTCACCACACCCAACTGTCTGTCTATCAGCTGTCATTTTCTAAAAAAAAAACAACAACAATAAATCACCATAAATTAGCAAATTTCTAAACTATACACCTCTTAACTTTTACACGTACCTACACAATTGATAGAACACCACCCCCCAAAACCCCCCGTAATACATTCCATAAAATCCACAACAGCCATATGAAAAATTATATACCCCACTAGACCCCACCAAAAAAATAAAAAACGTTCAGGACACTTTGCTGCCATTCTAAACATCTGAGATATTGTAAATAATTTAGCAGGATTCATTGTGTGATTAGTAATATCGAAACAAAACACCCAACAAACAATTATACAATAATGAAAAAACCCCGCCCAAAAAAAAAAAACATATATTTAACAAAACTAACCTTAAAAGCCATAAATCGATCTATAGAAACCTTGTTTTATAAGTCTGAGAGAAAATCCCATAATCGATCACTAGAAACCTATACGTCAATAACAACTTGAACTATGTTTACATTTGGCACTAAATGTGGGGGCTTTATTTTATAAATAATTTTTATTAAGAATTAATATGAAAATAAAACACGAGATTTAGGCCAGTGTTTACATTAATAAAGTGTGTTTTATAATACGAGTATAATTAATAACTTTTCTTGAACATTTAATAATTAAATCAACAGGGTTTAAACAATGTTTTTAATTGAAATGATATTTAAACATAAAGCACATGCTTTATATCAGTGTTTACATTAAATGTATTTAAATAAATACTCATTTAAATTACAACATTGTTTTAAATAAATACAAAAATATAAAGCACATGCTTTATGCCAGTGTTTACATGCAATATATTTAAATAAATACTCATTTAAATTTTAAATATACACAAAAACTATTTTTTATTAAAAATGCATATTAACGTAACGTATACGCTACGTTAATCCTGTTTTCAAATCCAGTTGAGATGGAGTGGATTTCGTAAATCTAAACCTACTTTTAAATATAAGTATTTAAAATAGCACGATTTCTCAATTTCAAATTTTATATGATGTATACGCTATGGTATTGACAGTTGATATCGAGTGGATTTCGTAGATCTAAATGCACATTTACACATTAAGAAATATTGATATTAAATATTTTTTATGATTATTGGGGATTCTGATCGACTAATGAAGGTTTTTTGAGGTTAGTTTTGTTCTGTGAAATTTATTTTCAAAACAAAAAAACTACTCCCCTGTGTACAATATTTTAACAAAAAATATATATTTATAATAACTATATAAGACATAAATAACTATATAAATATATATATATATAATTTTCTTTTATTATTATTACTATCATTGTTATTTATTATCATACAAAAAACAACAAAATACTACAACAATAACAAAACTAAATTCAATTCTATTTTAAAAAACCAACAACAACAAAATCAACTAAATAATATTTATATACTTGTACTCGTAATTTCGTAACTCTCGTTTTCTCGTACCACCATCACTAAAACTCACCACGTATTCCGAAAATAATTCACCACAACTCGTGTGTTTGTGTGTGTGTTCCAAAAAAAAAACTCAAAAAAACTTTGCGTGTGTGTGCCACCCACTCACCAAAAAAACTAATGACAATTATTTAAAAAAATTAAAACAACAACATAACAACTACTACTCCAACAACAACAACAAAAACAATTAACCACAAAAAATCCTCCAAAAACAAAAAAAAAATATAAAAATTACAACCACAACAGCATACTGGGCATGTATCTGTTCGGCGGTAAGTTTTGTAAATTTATGGACGAAACCGGTCTCGAAAGGGAGTGTACATGTCCCGAAATAATCAGCAAACATCCACAGTGTGAATGTGATCGCAAACACTTCAACAATATACTATGGGCCACCGTAACGGTCTTTCAAGTAAGAGCAAAAAAATCCTTAATTCATAACCTCAAAAAACTTATATATAGAAACTCTAACAAGAAAACAATTATTTAAAAAAAATGATTTTAACTTATGAACCCCTACTTCTTCTAAATATAATACAATTATTTTATTTTGAAATTATTTCTCTATTTACATATCCTGTAACAAATACATAATATTATCTTCCTATTTTTTATTACTAGTTTTAGTTTTATAATTTAAATCTTTAATTATTTTTTTTCTATTTTTTGTAGTTTAGCATTTGTAAATTAGTCATCCTTTTCTTTGTTTTGGGTTCTTGAGTTTATTTTTTAAATAGCTATTGAATTGATATTGGAAGATAGGGTTCTATAGGGGAAATGAAATAATAGAGATTGCCAGATGTTCCATTGTACGGCCAGACACCTGATTGTTTAATTGTCAGTGTTACCAGAAGGAGTTCGAATCATACTATAGTTCAAGAACAGCTGATTCATTCCCAAGTTGTCAAAGTGCTTTACATTTTAAATATATTTAAGGAGCATTAAGGAAAATTAATTGCAATGTCGATTTTTGGGTACCTTTATTGATATTCTATTCGTCATAAAAATTTCTAAGAAACTTAGATGTTTTGAAAAACGTTATGCCTGGCATCAATCGAATATGCCTGTTGGACAAATCGGATATATTGGTTCAAGGCCAGGGAGAACAGCTGGGTATCAGCTGCATCTCAAGTTTACTGTCAAAATCCATTATTGTGAATTGATTTGCGTTATGAAAACTTAAACAATGTCCACATTTTTGACATAATCTTGAAAAAAGAACCTTAAGGAATCTTTATTTTTTATTGTAGTTAATGGTTTCAATGTAAACATAGTATAAATTTGATTTAATATCCATTCACAATAACAACCTATTGGACCCTACTTCCAATCAATTAGTCTTTTTATATGTAGAAATTTTCATTAATTTTGTATTTACAAAAAAACAATAACAAAGCACTCTTTTTATTTTAATAAACACCTCCCCACCGCTCCACCACAAAACCAGAAAAACGATAAAGTAAATTGGAAACAACAAATTACGTTTTACGAACACAAAGTAATATTTACACGTACTCTAATTCGTAAAGAATGTGTATTTTTTCGTCTTCAACTCCATTCAATCATTCACAATAGACATGAGAGAAAGTAGTTACCAAAACGTAACGTAACGTGTCTTGTAACGTATCACTAACCACAGTTCAAAAACAAACAAAAAAACATCTGATCAGAATTGTAAAATAATAAGAAAAACAGCTGTAATCATATCAGGCATCATTGCATGTGACTAATAGCCGACATACGTCATAGTTAAAGGTGGAAGATGGTAGATAAAGTTAAATGCGGTGTGAAAGGTGAAATTTAAGGGTGTTATGGCCAAAAAGTAGCAAAATACTGTGTGTATGCAAAATGTAAACAATAAGACCATGTTTACACACGGCACATTTTAATGCAACTCTAATATTACATTATAAAATACAATGAAAATACTAATATTTAAATTCATAATTGAAAATCTTAAGGGGAAACACATAAAAGAGTTCAGGCATGCTCTTTTATGTTGTCTTTGTATGAAATGTCAATTTATAAAGAATAATCTGAGTCAAACTTGATTTTAGACGCCGTTATCCTTTATTCTTTTGACAATAAAAGAAGCCAAATTATCACGGCAAGCCTGAAGTGCTCTTATGAGTTTCCCCTTTAATAAAATCACATAAAATCCGAAACGTTCATGTAAGCAAAAGCTAAACAAGAAGGCCGTGTTTACATAAGGCGTGTTTTATTAAAATGCTTCATTTAATTTTCATTGAAAATTTGGCCATTTAAATATTTTAAAGTCCATTTCAACACAAAACCTTAATGTAAATCAAAAAAATTCGCAAAAAAGACGTGATTACATTTGACGTTTACAAAGACTCGCTTTATTTAAATTTTAATAATTAATTTCAATGAATATGTTCAATTAAATGCTAAATTGAACAGTTTCATGAAATGGAACTGTTCGGAGCCAGTGTACAAATAACGGTAGCCGTTTTGTAATGAAATATTAAAGACCACAGGCCACACATCAAATTGTAGGGGAAAAAATATTTCTTTATTTTTTAATTATGGCAAATAATGCGAGATTAAAAAAAATACATATCACCGCATATAATTAAATAGAACTTCCACCTTTATTCCAATTAACCGTTACACAATAGAAAATGACTAACTTGTAAATATCCGCATATCAATAACAGAATAACAGAAAATAATGGAAACTTCATTGAAATATTGTCACATAGTCTTCATATCACAAATCCATTATTGCCATTGAAAATTCTCATAACATTCCAAAAGAAAAATATATATATAACAAAATTTCGCTGCATGTTTTGTTGCGTTTTATTCTTTTATGTTTTCTATTAATTTTTTTTCGCCATCAAATATTATATAGAAATAAAGAAAAGAGGAAAATGAGGCTTTGCAAAAGAAAAAAAAAACGCTGGCACGTTTTTACTCAATATTTTTTTTACAAAACAAATTCTTTGTGTAACATAAGAGTTTTATTATAAGAAGGAGTTCATTGTTCAACGTTTAGTATGTGACATGAATTACAAAAAAAAAAATCAAGAAAACCCGCAATTAGAAAAAAGTGAATTCGCGCGTTCACACCACGAATTAAATCAAACGTTTGTTGTTTCTTTTTTATTGGTAACTATCCCCCAAGGTATGAATCCTTGATTCAAAAAAAAAAAAGAAAAAAACAACATCGTCGGCATTCACTGTGTTATGTAGCCAAGGTCAAGACCATCACAGCCACCGCTTTGCTTTTGTTTTTGAGTTTGCAAAAAAAATCTACGGCGTTAACACAAAATTTGGTTTTTATTTCTATTATTTTACTCAAGTACAAAATTTTATTTTCATTTCTTATACTACCCTCTTTACCCGGCAAATACTCCTTATATGTATTGGGCCTTAGAAAAAAACCAATTATATTTTAGGTTATGTTTGCTGTTACCTTACGTTTACATTTAGTTATGTTACATTACGTTGCCTTTGCGTTAGTTATGCGTTTTTTATTTAACTTATTTATATACTTAATTAAAAATTTAGGTAGAAGACTGAAAATACGACAGTATCGACAATATGAAATATAAAAATATATTTTATACCGTGTGGAATACCTTTCAAAGGATATCAATCTATAGAAACCTCCATATAGATCTTCAGGATATTTTTTAAGATCTCGTGAAGATATACTGACTCTAAAAGACCTGCCACAGCTATATATTTTTATCATTTTATAAAAAAAACTATATGTGGCGCCCAACTGATTAACATTTTCATTATACAAATAAATTTTGACTGAGAACAAAAGAAAACTACATATGGCGCCCAACGAAAGTTCTCCTAATGGTATTCCGACTGTATTTATGGTCTTCTACCTTTCAAATTTGTTTTATTTTTTTCTTTTTATTTCATTTTACCTTTTAATTTATTTATTTCGTTTTGTTATTCGCTTTGCTGCTTGTCTAATGTATGTACCCCCCATTTTTTGTTTTGTTTTCGATTCCTATGCCCCCGCTCCCAGCCAGCACTGATAGGACCAAGGCAACCGATTATTTATATTTTTGTGGTTGATCACCTGTGCTGTCCTGCGTTTTACACACCCACACACGCCCACTTCCCTTGTTCCTGTCATTGTTTGGCGGGCCATTTTTTTGATAGCACCTTCTGTGTTGTTGTCTGGTTGTTTGTTTGTTTTTTCGTTTTGCGTTTTTCTTCTTCCTCTTTCGTTTCTTTGTTCGTTCATTTGTTTGCTTGTGACAGTGTTCATCACTTACTCAGCGAAAAAAACATTTTCTAGATTCTGACGCAGGAAGACTGGAATGTTGTCCTGTTCAACGGCATGGAAAAGACCAGTCATTGGGCTGCACTGTACTTTGTAGCCCTAATGACGTTCGGCAACTACGTCCTCTTTAACTTGTTGGTTGCCATTTTGGTTGAGGGATTCAGTTCAGAGGTAGAGTTTTATTATAAAAACCAAAACTTTAATTACTAACTTCTAAAAACAAAAGTTTTCTTTTAACAATTTTGGTTGGCAAAGAAAAATATTTGCTCCGCCAATCGTAACCCATAAAATGAGTTATCGCCATCTTGTTTTGTATTTTGTTTCCTTGGGAGTGCACCGAGCAACTGAGCAACGTTTCCCTACTACAGCACCTGCACAATTTATTTTGAAGAGTAACGTAAACCATCGATACTCATTTTATGGCTGGACAAAAATTATTCTTTGCCTACGCCGGAGCTCAGTTCAGAGCCGAATTGGTTTCTATTAACTGTAACTTGCTAACTCCTAAACAGGCTCTATTTACCTGTGCCACGAAAAAAGTCTAATTTTGAAATTTTGATTCCCTCAGCGAAATGAACGTCGTGAACGGGAACAGCGCGAGTTGGTTAAGAAACTGCGCGAGGAAACATTGGCCGAAAACTATAGCGATGCTATGTACGATGAATCGCACAGTGAAATTGATTCATCTTCGACCAATGAAAGTTACTACGAAGTGCGTAATCGTTGGCACAGTGCCGAAGATATACGAAAGGTAAGTTCGATCGCCCTCGAAACCCCCAAATCCGAAATTCCCCCCAAAATAGCAACAGCAAATGTATTTTCTTTCTTTTGTTTTTATTTTCGGCACCTCCTTTGTTCCTCCCACCCGTTTTTTTGTTTCGTTTCCAAACATTTGTCTTCCATTTGTTGCTTGTTCGTTTTTTGATCAATGTACGCTTGGATTTTGATGCCTCACACTCGCATAGCTACAGGACTCTGCTGAAATGTTTATTGAAAACAAAAGCAATATACAAAAACAACGAATGCTACCCACTGGCAGTCGTGGTGACCATCAGCTAAAGGATAATAATAGTGCTATAAGTCCACAGCCGGGGGGCAGTGTACCCATAAATGGTTTGAATAGAAAATTTTCAGAAAAGGATTTTAATAAATCCGAAGATGAAAGAAAGCCATTGAAAAAGGTAAGCAGAATGCCGGGTCAAGAAGAAATTTGATGCACACTTTTAATATTTGATTTTCGTTATGAAGACTTATTCGATACGGGATCGACGGGCTGATGTACCACGTCTAGCCAAAATACGACCCATGCGTGAGCCGCCCATTATCACCACAACAGCCGCTACGCCGCAAGATTCGCCAAATACAACCATGGAATCGGGCGCAAGTTTCCGCAACTGGGGCCAAAGCGAAGAGGAGAAAGTGGAGGTAATGTAAAGAAAATGTGAAATATTTTCACTGTAATATGTTGGCGCCCAACATATCATAACGATTTAATTTACAAGTATCTTCTTCCATTTTATTGTCGAATTTCTCACACAATTACCGTGAATCTCTTTTTACAGAGTCCCGGATCACCATCCCTGCTTCGACCACCAACCATATTCAGCAGTGGTCAACGCTCACTGGACGAAGGCATACCTTCAATTGACTTGATACCACCTTCTCCCGTGCTGCCTCATAAATCCCCAATAAATATTTTAAATCCCAGTCAATTGGAAACCAACACAACAGCTGTCACCTCGACGCCCACCACCTGTTCTCTGCTATCCACTGGCCTTAATGGCTCAGGCGGCTCTCCAGTAGCTGGTAGCAGCTTACATCATAATGTTGTTATCGATGATATCTCAAAAGATCCCAACACCGCAACATCGGGTCCAATTTATGTACCCACGATATCATCTACAGCCGCCAAACTGCAATTGCCCAGCTTTGGGCGCCAAGAGCCTAGCATTACATCGAACAGTGCCACCTCATTGAGTTCCAATATACCCGAGACAAATGAACCGCTACAGCGATTGCCTAGCATAAAACGTTTTCGACGCACCAGCTCAAAGCGGAAAAAACAGGAACTCATGACACCCGAAGATTTGGAACACCAACTCAACAATGGCAGTGACAATTCCTGCCTCCTCACAGACTGTTCGCCAGCACGTTCGGATGTTTTCCTTAAGCCCAGCACTCCCAGCATGGGCATTAAGAACAAGGACACCAATCGCCTCAGTCCGCAAAATTCCATCAGACGTCTATCGGCCTCCTTGAGCATTGGCAGTGGAGTGCCCGGAAGTCGACGAGCCTCAGCCTGCCTCTTCAATTCACAAATGTATCAGAATCTCAATCAATCCAGCAAACTGCATGCCTATCCCGGTAAACGACGCATGTCCTCCATAGAACTGGCCTTCACGAAGACGTCACATCTTAATCTGCACAATTTGGAACCCTCGCGCAAGTCGCTATCCTATACCAATTCCAAACTCGATTTGGACAAGTGGCAGAAGATGTACACCACCAACGAAACGGACATGCTGCAGCAATACATCCAGGAACGTGAAAAGCGGAAAGGCTCCATTTGTCAATTCCCCAAAAAACGGTACGAAGAGGATGGCGGTGGCAGCGGCGGCGGCGGTAAAGAAGAACATACCAAGGAGCAACAACATTCCTATTTTCTATCATCAGATCGTTTTTCCAAGGTTAAGATGCTCATTGATCGCTTGATACCGCACGATTTTACCGATGAGCGTAGAACATATTCGCTGTACATATTTTCGGAAGACAATAGGTAGGGAGGAGGAGAAAGAGGACCTCTCCACAAAATATACCCAAATACCCTCACTCTAAACACTTTGAATTCTCTTACAGGTTTCGACGTGTCTGTTCATGGTTTGTCAACCAGAAATGGTTTGACAATGCGGTTCTATTGTTCATAGCTCTCAACTGCATTACCTTGGCAATGGAACGACCCAATATACCACCTGACAGTACGGAACGTCTGTTCCTCTCAACGGCCAATTATGTGTTCACTGCAGTCTTCACTGTGGAAATGTTTGTAAAGGTAAGTACCACACGCAAAATCTTCCAGTCCTTCTAGCATTCTGACAACTTCGCACCACGATACAGGTTGTTGCTGCTGGTATGTTTTATGGTCAAGATGCCTATTTTACATCCGGTTGGAATATCATGGATGGTTCATTGGTGACGATATCCATCATTGATCTGTTAATGTCATTGATTAGTGCATCGAGTCCGAGAATTTTTGGGATTTTAAGGGTAAGTCCAGCCTCCACCTCTTTGCCAGCAATTAAAAGTTTGTCTACATAACCTCAATTTTGTTTCCCATTCCATTTTGAAAGGTGTTTCGGCTACTTCGTTCCCTGCGGCCTTTGCGCGTTATCAATCGAGCGCCGGGTTTGAAATTAGTCGTGCAAACGCTCTTATCGTCCCTTCGACCTATCGGCAATATCGTTCTCATCTGTTGCACCTTTTTCATTATATTCGGAATTTTGGGTGTCCAGCTGTTCAAGGGCACCTTCTACTACTGCGAGGGTGAGAACATTAAGAATGTCAGCAACAAGACCGAGTGTCTCAGCATACCGGGCAATGCCTGGGTGAATCGTAAATACAACTTCGACGATTTAGGCAAAGCCCTGATGTCCCTCTTTGTGCTGAGTTCCCGCGATGGCTGGGTTAATATTATGTACACGGGTCTGGACGCTGTCGGAGTCGATCAACAGCCAATTGTGAACTACAATGAGTGGCGGTTGCTGTACTTCATTGCGTTCATTTTGCTGGTGGGATTCTTTGTCCTCAACATGTTCGTGGGAGTTGTTGTGGAGAACTTCCATCGGTGTCGCGAAGAACAGGAGAAGGAAGAGAAAATACGTCGAGCCGCCAAGCGGGCACTGCAAATGGAGAAGAAACGTCGTCGTATGCATGAACCGCCCTATTACATCAACTACTCTCCCGCGCGCATGTTCGTCCACAATGTGGTGACATCGAAATATTTCGACTTGGCAATTGCGGCTGTCATCGGCTTGAATGTGGTGACAATGGCCATGGAATACTACAAGATGCCGGCATCACTGCAGGTAGGTCCCGATTCACATGTGCATGTTACATTTCACTGACCGCATCTTCTGCTCACCCATCTCCCTAGTATGCACTGAAAATCTTCAATTACTTCTTTACGGCTGTGTTCATCCTCGAAGCGAACATGAAACTGGTTGCTTTGGGATGGCGTCTGTACCTGAAAGACAAATGGAACCAACTGGACGTGGGTATTGTTCTGCTGTCCATCATCGGCATCGTGCTGGAGGAGCTGAAAACCAACATTATCCCCATCAATCCCACCATCATTCGTGTGATGCGCGTCTTGCGTATAGCACGAGTCTTGAAGCTGCTGAAAATGGCGAAAGGAATACGGGCTTTATTGGACACTGTAATGCAAGCATTGCCGCAAGTTGGCAACTTGGGTCTGCTCTTCTTCCTGCTGTTCTTCATCTTTGCTGCCCTTGGCGTGGAACTATTCGGACGACTTGAGTGCTCCGAAGAGATTCCTTGCCAAGGCCTGGGGGAACATGCACATTTCGCCAATTTCGGAATGGCTTTCCTCACATTGTTTCGCGTAGCGACTGGCGATAATTGGAACGGCATCATGAAGGACACGTTGAGAGATAATTGCGATGACGCGGCAGATTGTGTGCGCAACTGCTGCGTTAGCTCAGTTATAGCTCCCATTTTCTTTGTGATATTCGTGCTAATGGCGCAATTCGTGTTAGTGAACGTCGTCGTGGCTGTACTGATGAAACACCTCGAGGAGAGCCACAAACAGATGGAAGATGAAATGGACATGGAAGTCGAACTGGAACGAGAATTGGTGCGGGAACAGGAGTTTGTACAAGAACAAAAGCTCTGCGAACAGCTGCAGCAGGCGAAAAAGCCGGTTCCGGCCCAACGTCAGCTAGGCAAGGTCAAATCACTGCCAATGAACTTTACCTACAATACGCCCTCGCTTGAGAAGAAATTCCCAAGTCTGGTGCCACCAGTTACGGGCAATCGCCGACAAACTGTCCAGTATTTCAACCAGCACAATGGTCTGGGCTTGGCCGAAATTGGTGGGGCATTTAAGACGCAAACCCTTACGCCTCTGGTGACGGAATCGGCTGCCACGGAGGAGAACAGTTTCGATTCCAAATTGCAAATACCGGCCGCGGTGAGGCGTGGCAGACGCTGTTCCACAGTATTGCGCAAGCGCGGCATTCTAACCAAAGAAAGATCTCTCGACGAACAAGCCATACGTCGTCGCAATCTCGAGTCCAAGCGCATGAGCTCCGATTCGCTGCCCTGGTGTGGCGGTGAGGGCGGTGAATTTCGAAGTGGCACCATTTTCGAGAGTCTTGAGTCCGATGGCAGTCCATCGTCCACCTATGATCTGCACAGCATACGCAGTGAAGAAGTGCCGCGCAACATTTCCGATACGGCCAGTATCGTCAGCGCAGTGGTCAGCGAAAAGCCGGTAAATGTGGCGCCCTGTAGCAGCAGTAGCAGTGGGTCGGCGCTGCGCCGACCCTATGGCCGTTCTATGTCGACAGACCCCAGTTTCTTGGCTCCTGCCCGCACCAACCTTTTGTCAGTGCCACGTTCCATGCCACCACGCAGCCGCAGCGGCAGCACAAAGCAGCTCTTCAAACAGCAGGCTCTAGACGAAGACCCAGATATGGACGAGAGTTCCTTGTTGTTGCCCGTTGTAATGGAAAGTGGCTCTCTTACAGCAGGCGGCAAACAAAATGGTAACAAAACGGTGACAGACCCGGCGGATATTGTCATATCCGAGGGTCTGTCCAAGTCCGATTCTGCGGAGATCTTACGCATCATATCGGAGCGGCGACGGGCCGAACAGCGTGATAATAGCGGCAACGAAGATTCCGATTACAACGAACTGTTGCTCGTCAAATCGCCACAGTCGTCAATAGATGGCTAAATGAAACGAAAAGAAGAAGATGACGATGCGAATGACAAAAGGCTGTTGCCTTTCTTGACATACTTACAAACTGAAAAACATATACATCCAAACAACCAACCACCCACCCACCTGTTAATCATGGCCACGAAACTATAAACAAAAATTTAGTAATATAGTTAAACCAAAAAAAAAAATCAAAAAAAGAGAAAAACCAATCTTCCTCCCGTTACCCGATCCCCTTGTATGTATATTTATATATGTAAAATGTAGATTTGTACACAAATTACCAATTAGTGTAAGTGAGTAGCGTTACATAAAAATATTTTTAACTTTAACTAATCTGTTTATATGCGATGTTGTTATATAAGTACTCATCTCATTTCTTGCTTAGACGAAAATGTGACGATGACCATGACCCATAATATGGTTTAGAAAAGTTTGGTAGAAAAACAAATAAGGAAATCAGAACAAAAATTTAACGACGGGTCCTATACATATATTGTTCACCTCATAGGGACTGACATACATAACTCCAAGGTTTTCAAAAGTGTTTAGCCATGTACAAAGAAGAAAAAAATACCTACACTCACGTACACAGACATATATAAAACAAATGTGAAATTTATTTGAAAATTTCCTGTTAAAAATTATAGCGCAAAAAATACTACTGAGTAGGTGAAACGAACTTTAAACTTAACATTTAAATTATATCAAATTAGAATTTATCAACGACAGAAATTGACATACGCCAACATTTAAGACGAATTTCGAAGGTGGTAGAATGAAAAAAATTTAAATAATTTTCTAAAAATCAATGACCTGGAAAGAGACCTTTTTAGGTATTATGCCCAGAAATTAACTATTGATGAGACTACCATATTTAGCGTATATCGAAATATGTACATATGTATGTTATTGTACATTTTTTAAATTAATTTGTTTAACCCGTAGTTTAGTCTATCCCCCTTTTCAGACAATTATTTAGTTTATTTTAATTTTATTATTGGTTTGTTTTAGTAAAAAAATGCTCTTCTCATGCTCAGATCAGCTGTTTCTCAAGCTTGCTGTCAAAGTAAATTATTGTGAATTGATTTCACAATAGAGAGACCAGCTGCTTCACAAATTTGCTGTCCGTTATTGTGAAAGTACGTCCATTATGAAAACGTAAACAATGTATAGATTTTTGACACTAGAAAAATCAGCTGACTTTAACCTGATGGGGGACCTTTTTAATAGATCTATAACAGCTGTTTTCCGTTTTATATTGTTTTCTAGCTGAACTGTTTAAATCTAATTCCTGAAGTAATTAAGCGAATTTGTCCATTTTCTCCTGAACAAATTCGAAGTACTTTTGCTTCCGTACAAATTGTTGACATAGTAATAAACATAATAAAAAACAGTTGATTTCGAATTACAAGTGACCAAAGCCTATTAATAAGATCAGAGCTGTTCTCCCATCATATCAGCTGTTTTTCAATTCGAATTGAACATAAACAGCTGGCCTTTGACTTTACGTTAAATGTCATATTTGAAAAGTTATAATTCACAATGGTGGTATGTTCACACTGAGCCATGATTGGTTTAAATAAAACCGTACAAAAAAGGTAAGAGCAAGTAAAGAAGAGCATAGTTTTATATAGAAAAATATTTAATTCATTATAAATATTATTTAATTTATTTATATTTTTGTTAAAATAAAAAATGTAAAATACTGTTATTTCCATAAATAAAACATTATTATTTACACATTTTTAGTTCATTTTTATTTCTTTATTTTGTAAATCTAGTTCTTGGGAAATGTCCTCTAAAAGCCTAAACAAAATGAATGCAGCTTATATTACGTTTACATTGTACCGGATTTAGTTAACCCAGTGGGTTTCAATTGTCAATTTCATTGTCTAGTTGTCAAATAAATCCTTTAAAAGTAGGTTAACCGTGCAAAAAGTTCTAATGTAAATTTTTTATGCAGTATTTTTGAAAAAAAATATATATAACTTTTCTATATAACAAATATTAATAGTACGTTTACATTGTACAGGATTTATTAAATCCGTTAGATTTAAATTGTCAATTCCATTACTTATATGTCAAATAAATCCACATAGAGGAGGTTAACCCGGCAAAAAGTCAAAACATTTCCCTGTCAGAACAAAAAAATATTTTCACTCGCGTGTCTCCCAAATAAAGAACCTCAATCAGCTTTAAGATTTCCTGACAGGAAATAAAGTTAGCCCCAAAGCATTCATTTTGTTCTGGCCTTTTTTGTTATTGCATGCACATTTGAAGTTCAAATTAACATTTGTTGACGTTCATATTGTTAAAAATATGGTTTAGGAATGACGTTATATGACATGGTTCAAGTTGTTATATCCTTTTTTAATTCCTAATGTTCAAATGCTATGTTTTGTTAAACAATTTCAATATGTTTTCAATATTCAGACACTCAGAACTCCCTACATATATCTATGTAAATATGTAAAAAAGTTTGTATATTTTATAATACATATACATATAGTTTCCCAATTTATGCGTTCGATAGAAATCCATTTCCTCTCAACTTCATTTTGATAGAGGACGACAGACAGATATCGAGAAAAAGAAGAATGAAAGAGGCAACTACATTTTTTCGTGACAGAACTGTACTGTCAAACGCAAACTAGAGGAAAACTATTAGCAGTCTTAATGCTTTGCCCAATTTAAAGCCTGTATTTCGTTGCACTAATTCAACCAAAACCAAACCCATCGTTTATATACATTCTAAATACCAAAAAGGGAGTTACAATTATTTAAAATCTATATATTTGTATAATTTTCAATTTCTTTGTTCACATTTACACACGACAATTTGTGTATTCATCACTTTTATACATAATTTCCGCAATATAAATAATTCAAGTTGATGTGTGGCCAGCCAGCCAATAAACTGTCATGTGTCAAATGTCGCTGTACAGAAAAATGTAAAAATTCATTGATTTTATGAATAATTTCTATTTTATGTTTATAAAGCAACTGGTGGACTTAGTTTTTCATTATTAATCAATATTTTTGTCAGCTATACATAATTCATAACAAAATTCTCCCTAACGCTTTATTTACATTAGCAATATTTAAAAGCTCTTCTTTGAATATATGTCAAATAAATGAAATAGTTTCCTAAAGTAATGTAAATATAACCCAAGGTATTTCCAAAGAGATTTAGCAGAAGTTATCTTCTGAAAATCTTTATTAACCAAATGTTGGGGTATAGTTATTGGTAAATTTTTCAAATTCCCTATATTATTTATATATATAAATTTCACTCTAACCCTATTCGTATTTCTGTACACAAAATTCCACAACACTTTTAAAATTTGTAAATGAAAATATATTAAACTACATAATAAACTCTTGTAGATTCTGAAACTGATGTATATGTAAAATCTGGTACAGAAAATATTTAGTATTGATTTTTGCTCAAAATATCTTCTTCTCATGAAAAACTACAGTCCACTTCAACCAAAACTGCTTACATTTTCCAAAAACAAAAACATATTGAAAATTAACCTTAATAACTTGTCAAAAAAAATCAGATCTATTTTGGTTTTAATGGTCCGATTTGCCTAATTAAATCACAACCTGTCCGAAACAGTAAAAAGCAAGGAGAACAAACTCGTTTTTTTCCAAAGAGTGGCAGCTTAATTAATTAACCTCTGTGGTTAGTTAACTTTTGCTAGTTTTGGTCAGTGTGGTGAAATAAAAAGGTAAAATGATCTACAACTAATAGATCTATATGTGCCACTTGCATTCAATTTTACTAAATTTTTCTACTCACTTTAGATCTTAACAAAATAATGCAATTTGATTATTATTAAATTTCGGGACAACTTATTGAAGCAGTAAAAAGCAAAGAGATCGAACTCTATGTGAGTGACATCTTAATTAACTAATTCGTGGGTAATTAATTAACTTTTGCTAACTTTAATCAGTTGTATTTAATAGTAATTAAGTTGTTTGCAAATTTTGTTATAGATCAAGTGAGATATTATAAATCCCTTTATTTTTAAGTTAGTTCAAAAAATTAGATTTATGTTAGTTAATAAGAAGATAAAAAATGATTTTGTTAATCGAGGAGTGCTAAATATGTCAATATTTACAACTGACAGATGTCAGATTTTTATATTTGTTTTCGTACACAATTTATTACACAGTCGTGTAAATGAGATATAGAAATCATATTTTAATTTATTGTGATTTAAAACCATTTTAAATGCGTAAAATAATTTATTGTCGTTTAAAAAAATATTATATGCGTAATAACATTAATATCGCCACAATACAATTACATTTTGACAGTGACATGTGTCAAGTTCGTTATTTTACAAATGAAGTAGATTTCTCTTCTTCTTATTCAGTGCGAAATGATATCCCACAGCAATTTTATTACCATCTAGGGTCAATTAGAACAATATGTACATACAGTGATATTATAATTTCACTTATAAAACAATTTATTAATGTTAATTAAACATTCACAATATTAAAGTCCCATCTCTGTCGGTCAACAAAAAAGATCAAAGTGTCTTCTTCTTTTCATTCAGTAGAAGGAGATTCTTATTCAGTGTGAAATGATATCTCATAGTAAGATTATTATGATCGTAGTGTCATTTATAACAATATTAAATGCAGAGATATTATAAATTAATTTTATTAATGTTAATTAAACATTCACAATATTAAAGTCCCATCTCTGTTAGTCAATAAAGAAGATCAACGCGCCTTCTTCTTCTCATTCAGTGGAAAATGATAGCACACCAATAAAACAACTGTTTCTTCTCCTTATGTCGTGCGAATTAATTGCTAGCAGCCTCGAAGCTAATTAGTTATGATTAATATTAATTTATAACAATATTACATATGGGCATAATAAAAAAATATGTATTAATTACTAAATTATTAAATAATCACAATATTATGTTCCCATTTCTATATGCCAACAAAGATCAGTGTCTTCTTCTTGTTCAGTGCAGTGATGTGCAGTGATAACACACAGTGATTGAAATTGTTGTTATTTAGAACATTATTACAAACTGATATATTATTTCAGACAAAAAATTATAAAAATTCTTATAAAAATCATTAATTGCTTTATTATCAAATATTTTGCAATATTTTGTTCCCTTCTCTCTCTCTCTCTTCTATTAAAGCAATGTCCCTGTAGTTTCTCTTCTTCTTATTACTCAATGTGAAGTGATGACATATAGAATATAATTATTCTTATTATAATAAAACGTTATTTAAAAGGAAATATCATAGACAAATTAGCTGAAATTATGATTTTTAATATCTACGACATTTAAAATATATTAAAAACTTTATATAAAGGGTTTGGACACCAAATAAATTGTGAATCAAAGGCCTTTAATATAAAGGCAAAATCTTCTAGGAAATCTATAACATGTCCAGTAAAATCTAATGTTGAGGAATTTGTAAATGTAATTAATTTGTTATAATAAAAGTTTGAAGCCATTCACCGATTGGTTGGTAGATATATAGATAACTAAAAATTTAGCACTCCTTGATATTTTCTATTAAAAAATTAATTATTATATTTATAATGTAAAAATTTGTTCATTTTAACACAAACATCATCATAAAGCAATTGTGCATAGAGTTGAAAAAAACGTATGTAACTATAAAAATAATTGTTATTTAACGGATTTATATACCGACATATATATAAAAATAAATTAATATTACTATTAATATTGACTGTAGAAACAAAAATTAAAATTGTTAAAATGAGACAAAGAACACTACAACAAAAAACAGCATTTATAGTATTTTTTGCAAGGAATTTTCTGGAAATATAAAAACAAAACAAAATTTTGTGACATAACCTCAAATTTGGAATTGTAAATAATTAAATTTCCTGGAAAATTTCCTTTAGAATAAATATCTAAATTAAAACATAATGCATGATTCAGTTGAAAATTATTACCAAAAAAAGAAAAATAATAATAAAAACCAAACCAAAAAGTGTTTATAAAAATCGCCACCCCAAATAATGGTATAAAGAAAAGAACTATTAAAATAATAATATTAAGCTAGAATTACTGATTAAAATTAAATAATAAAAAAAAACTTTACCTGGATCCTCATACATTCATAACCAAGCTACCTAACATACATTCTCACCAAAAACAAATATTTAAAAAACATAAAACAAAACTACTTATGTATGTCTTAATTCAAGTAAAGCAGGTGCTTTGTCTGTGATCTATAACAAAAAATTAATTAAAGAACATTTTCTGTCTCAAAAAGAAAATTTCTTTAAATAAAACAAAAAATAACAACAACAAAAATTGTATAGCCGTTGCCGGAATGTTGAATAACAAACTCTTTTTAAGCCAAAATAACAAAATGAAACAAACAAAAATAAAAAAAAACATCAACGAATTGTGAACTTAAAACTCCTTATCTACAAGTCTTAACTATTACAACAACAACAAAAAGTCAATTCCTTTCTATAAATAACTATCAAAGAAAAAAAAAGAGAATTAAAAAACACACATAACCTCAAATAGTAGTCGGGTTTGTTTTGTGTTTGTTCTTAAAAAAAATTACTACAACTTTCATCTCTAATTAGGGCCATGTCATAACATAACATATAAATGATAAATACTTGTATATAATAGGAAAAATTTCTTCTGTGCCTTCTTTTCCTTATCAACACAATTTTGAAAGAAAGAAAAAAACTATCATAGAAATGCTCATTAGGATTCAAAACTTCTTTCGATAACATACTACTCTACAATAATACTGGTACATATGTAGTAAAAAATAAAAAACAAAAATCTCTCTGAATTTTTAGAAATTTTGTTGCAGAATTTTCTTCATAATTTGAAATCAGTGGAATATAATTGGAAAAAAGGGTGGTATATTTCTACAAAAAAAAACCCCCCTCAAACCTTAGTTATTGTTAATCAAAAATAAGGACTCTTAGTATTAAATTGAAATTTGAAAATAACAAAAAACAACATTTCAACACTTTTCATATGTATCCACCAACCTTTCCTTTCTCTCCTTCTTCAAACATATTCATTGCTTAGTCTTGTTGATTATTTAATAGGATAAAAAAAAAACAAATAAAACAACTTGAAAAATAAAAACTCCAAAATTAAAAAAGAAAATAATTCACCAATTAAAAAAACATATTAAACATTTTACTAAATTAGCGCAAAACAAAATGTTGTATTACGGATAATTAATTTAATATTTTTTTTTTTTAGTTTAGTAACAATTGTAAGAAAATTGTTTAATTAGGCAACAACAACAAAAACACAAGAAATTACAAACCAAAAAAATTAACCTATATAACCAAATATTGAAGAAAAATAAAATAAAATTGTTAAGTATAATAAAAAAAGAACAACAAATATTAGAACATGAACTTAAAACAAATTAGTAAATATTTTAGAATTGTACAAAAAAAAAAAAACAACAATGAATATGTATTTCAAAAACAACTGAAAATGTCGAAATAAATAAAAAAAGAATTTAAAAAAATTAAAATGGGTTTTATTATCAGGGGAGAGATTTGCTCAAAAAACCAAAAAGGGATTTTATTTTAAGGGAAGGGATTTGCCTAGTTAATTAAATTAAATTGTCGTAAACATAATATTTAATATTTAAGAATGGACCTTGCATTTTCACTTACTATCCTGTGTAAAAAATATGGTCTTAAATTGTATAATAGTAAAATATTATTAAAAAATATTTTCTTTTTAAATTACATTTCTTTTTTAATTACAACAACATAAAATTCAACTTTTTTTTTAAACTAAGAAACAATTTCCTAAAATCTACAAAATTATCATAAAGATTTTAAAGTCTCATATCTTTATTTGTTTTCATTTCAATCAACCTTGTGTTAAGGTTCATTTCTGCAAATAATCGAAATACGTCTATCCTTTGTAACTGGTTGTCCCATAAAGCTGGATTCCTTATTAGCTAATATTTCATGGGTGAAATCATAGCGGGCATAGTTACTTTAAAAATAGAAAATAAACACATTTTTTAAATTACAAATGCAAATTTTCAAACATTTGACTTACCTCATAATGTATAGGGAACGACGTGGTAATAAAATATCAACATAATAATTATTTTCTAATATGGCCTTTGGTTGACTGCGATAATCTTCCGATGTACCCGATTCAGTTTTATTTATGGCATAGACGAGACGCATTACCGAATCGGAAAGTAGGCTAATGCCAGCAATTGTATGGCCACAGTACTGTAAATAGATTAAATTATAAAATTATTATAAAATAAAAAAAAACAGTCGAAATCATTTACTACGACATTGTTGGAAAAAAATTCCTTTTGGGAAAAATCTGAAATTTTTATAATTGGTAGCCTTTTGGTTTCCTGATTACAACATATTTTTTTTTGGGGTAGCCTTTTGGTTTCCTGATTACAACATATTTTTTGGGGCATTCTTCCTTTTGTTTCCTGATTTCAACAACATAAATTTGTTTTTAATTTGAAATTTTTCTGAGAGTTGGCCCTTTAAAGGATATAAAAACTTGTAACTATATTCTATTTAAAAAAATGTTAATACCATACCCTTGTGCTATCAATATGGGGTTTAATGACACCCTCTGCAGCTAAATCCAGTATGTGGACATATGGCATAATTTCTTCCTGGAAACCTGTCGCACGAACTCTCTCCAATACTTGGCGATTGTGGGGATACCAATGTTTACGTTCGGTTTCGCGGAAGCCATGAATAGCCTAGAAAAATAAATAAAAAATAATAAATATTTATTAAATTAAAACATTTATACTTCCATGCTAACTCACATCATCCCAATGATCATATTCATAACGTAAACGTTTCATATATGGTTCAATTTCTTCCAGCAGCTTTGCCTCTTCATCTTCGGTAATAAAATCGACCATAACTCTCATGTCACGTATGAATTTCTCCCGATTCGCTGGCGACCATTCACCCTTGAATTCCAATAAACTAGTTTCATTTGCTATAAATGAACAATTACAACTATTGTCCTTTTAATGGACTGTCTAATGGGGGACATTACGAAACCATTGGCTTACCCTTCAACTGTTGTTTTGCATTGGAACAGAAATTGCGCCAATTTTTATTTGACGCACTAATGGTTAAGAAAATAGAATTTCTATTTCCATTCCAAAGACCTTTACTGTGCCTAAACAGGCTTAATGTCAATTGTTTTGTGGCCGTCATTTGGAGTTGGATTCGTTCGTTTTCCGGCAAGTTCTTTTCAGATCACTAACGTCTTCGGTTCAATTTAACGATTCACTGCACGTGAGCAAGTGAACTAGTCTCTCTCTCATCAGCTGGTAATCAGACTAGAGTGGGCATGCCTGGCTCACATTAAGTGATATATGTTTAGTAGCTTGTAAATTAAATTCAATAAAAAGTAGAAGAAAATGAAATTAACAATTATAAGACAATAAAAATAATGAATATATATATATATATATATATATATATATATATATATTTGAGTTTTGCCTGTAAAGATAGCGATCGTTTGAATGATTCTAAAGTATATTTTGTTTCTCTTTCGATTATTAAAATTGACACTGTATAAAAAATGCATTAATAATAAATTTAATGTCTTAATCCAAATTTCTAATAAAATTTTAAAAATTTTTTGATCACAAAAATATATTTAATTAATTAGACAATTAAAAATAATATGCAATAACTTTTATTTCTAATATGATCTAAACGATCTTCTACTTTAGTTATATTTACTTTTAAAGAAAAATTAATGTTTTTTCATAACAATATTTTTAATGATTTTACCAAATACAGAGACTGTTTACTTTTCGATTTACAGACCCCTAAAACAAACAGCTGTTATTTACCCCCATTTGAATCTTGCTGTCATTTAAAACATATGGGTGTACACGGCTTCACAGTTGTGACAGCTCGAAGCAGTATCAAACATACGCGTATCAGTCGAGAGATTCGGACAAGTTAATTGACAAAAATCACATTTGTTTTTGTCCACCGTTTATATATATTTTATTTATATACGCGTATTTGCATTTCTGCATCTTTTGTTTGGCTTCTCCGTGGCTGCACAACAAATTATGATCGAACATATATAGAGACAATTATATCATCGTCAGAAGCAGAAGGAAGAACAATGTATAAATATGGTGGAAAATTGAGTGCCAGTCTGTTACAAACAAATTTAAATGTCAGCTGCAGTCTTCGGGTGCGAAACCTTTTTGCCAGTCGATATTTGCAAGATGCTGGCGGTACGACACCGGGAAACGAGCAACCAAATGTCTTCCGCAAACGTAAATTTATACCACAAAATCCTGACCAAAAAGCGGCATGTGATCTTCCCCAGGAGGCAAGAGTTGTGGTGTGTGGCGGTGGTATAGTTGGAGCATCGGTTGCCTATCATTTGGCCCTGCTGGGATGGGGTAAACAGACATTGGTGTTGGAGCAGGATACGGTGGCAGGAGATAGTCCTTGGTGTGCCAGCGGTTTGGCGGGACGTTTCGAACCCAGCTACACCGAATTGAAACTGGCCGAATATTCGGTACAACTAATCAAGGATTTTACAAATAAAGGATTACCGACCGGCTGGAAACAAGTGGGGAGTTTAAATTTGGGACGCACCTTCGATCGTATGATTTCTTTTAATCGCATGAAATCCTGTGGTGTGGCCTGGGATATACCTTGTGAGATTTTAAGTCCTGAACAATGTAAAGAGAAATGTCCGATAATTGAAGTGAATGATTTACTCGGCGGTCTATGGATACCAAATGATGGTGTTTGTGATCCGCATTTAGTGTGTCAAACACTTATCGAAGAGGCCAAGCGTATGGATGTGCGTGTGGTGGAACATTGTGCGGTGAAGAAGATACGTGCAGAGCGAGGCAAGGTGACACAGGTGGACACAACGGCGGGAGATGTGAAATGTGAATTTTTTGTCAATTGCACTGGGTTTTGGGCAAGGGAAGTGGGTACATTGTCCAAGCCTCCGGTCAAGGTTCCCCTGAAAGCTGTGGAACATCATTATCTTCATACAAAACCGGTGGAGGGCTTGAATCCGCAGACACCTTTTGTGCGGGACTTTGATGGCGGCATCTATTTCCGAGAGAAAGATGGTTGCATATTGGCGGGTAAGTAACTTCGTAATACATTTTTTAAAAAATTGATAATAAATGTTTGTTGTTGTTGTAGGTGGTTTTGAACGTGAAGCCAAGGTGGCTTTTGAAGATGGTTTCATACCTCTGTCGCAAAAGGAACGTGTACTCCCACCCGATTGGGATCATTTCCATGATCTCTTGGATGAATTGCTCAAAAGAGTACCTGCATTGAGATCGGCCCGACTAGATCGTCTTACAAATGCCTTACAAGCCTTCTCACCCGACTGCAAATGGATAATGGGTGAAGCTCCGGAAATACAAAATTACTATGTTTCAGCTGGCATGAAAACAATAGGGGTGTCCGCAGCTGGTGGTATTGGCCGCGCCTTGGCGGATTTAATTGTTAAAGGCTCCACCGAACTTGATATACACATATTGGATATCAGTCGCTTCCTTGGTTTGCACAATAATCGTAAATTCCTTACCGATCGTGTTAAGGAAGTGCCCGGCAAACACTATCAAATTAATTATCCGTTTGATGAGTTCAAGACCGGACGTAATTTGCGTATGTCTCCCATATACCCTTCGCTGAAGGAGGCCGGCGCCGTATTTGGTCAAACAATGGGCTATGAAAGGCCAAATTATTTCGATCAGAATGATAAGAAGGGTAAGGTGGTGGGTCATATGAAACTAGAGGAGATATTCTAAAATCTGATTTTTTCTGTTTCAGATGAATTTGGTATACCACGTTTCCGTATTGCTGAGACCAAAACCTTTGGCAAACCCCATTGGTTTGATTTGGTGGCTTCCGAATATAATGCCTGTCGTGAACGTATCGGTTTGGCTGATTATAGCTCATTTACAAAATACGATTTATGGTCCAAGGGCACAGAAGTAGTGGATTTGCTGCAGTACTTATGCTCCAATGATGTTGATGTACCCGTGGGCTCAATTATCCATACAGGAATGCAAAATGAAAAGGGAGGTTATGAAAATGATTGCTCATTGGCACGGCTCTCGGAGAAACAGTGAGTTTTGGTTACATTTTTTGTAATAAGGATTAATGTATATTTCTTGTAGCTACATAATGATCGCCCCAACCATACAACAAACCCGATCCATGAGTTGGATACGCAAAAAAATGCCAAATCATTTACGTTCCGGCGTCAATGTTGCTGATGTCACTTCCATGTATACGGCCATTTGTATTTTGGGTCCATATACACGTGTATTGCTTTCCGAACTGACCGACACCGATTTAACACCCAGTAATTTTCCATTTTTCACATACAAAGAATTGGATGTTGGATTGGCCAACGGTATAAGGGCTCTGAATTTGACCCATACCGGCGAATTGGGTTATGTTCTGTATATACCAAATGAATATGCCTTGCATGTTTATGAACGTATTTATCAGGCTGGCCAGAAGTATAATATCCAACATGCTGGCTATTATGCTACCCGGGCATTGCGTATTGAAAAATTCTATGCCTTTTGGGGTCAGGATTTGGATACCAATACCACACCGTTGGAGTGTGGTCGCAGTTGGCGTGTTAAATTTAATGTAAGTAGGATTATTTAAACAGGGGAATTGAATTTATTTGAAAATTATATTTCCGAATTCCCCTTAGAAACCCATTGATTTCATTGGCCGTGCCGCCTTGGAGAAGCAACGTGAAGAGGGCGTCAAACGTATGTATGTCCAGTTGCTGCTCAATGATCACGATCATGAAGTGGATGTTTGGTGTTGGGGCAACGAACCGATCTACAGGGATGGTAAATATTGTGGTATGACCACAACCACCGGCTATGGTTATACATTTAAGAAACAGGTTTGTTTGGGTTTTGTACGTAATGTGGATGAGCAGGGCAATGAGCTGCCAGTTACCAATGATTATGTTCTATCGGGTCACTATGAAGTTGAGGTGGCCGGTATGCGTTTTGAGGCCAAGGTGAATTTACATTCACCGAATTTACCCACCAAATTTCCCGATAAGGAACGTGAAGCCTATCATGCGACACGTGATAAACCGGATCAAGCTGATTTGTTGTCGTTTATGACAAAGCCGCAGTCATAAAATATAGCTCAAAGAGAAAAAGGAGATGCAACGAATCAATTATTGAGGGAGTAATGATATTAAAGAGTTTTTATTTTTATAGTTATTGTTGTATTATTTGTGTATTTTTTTTATTTTTTTAATAATTTATTTGAAACGAATTGGTCTCCAAAAATTGGCATTTATATAATGAAAAAATTTAATCTCATTATTTTATTCTTCTTGAAGGAAAAAAGGATACCAATTTAACTTTATTACTATTGTTGCTTAGCAATCAAATTTGCTATATTATATATTGAAAATATTATAATTCAAAATTATTTATTCGAAATGAATTGATTTAGAAAGTGTCCTTGGATCCATAAAAATCCAAATTATATGTTGATGTTAACATAAAAACAAATTAAAAAAGAAAGGGAAAAACAAATTCTTGTAATCAATTATAAAATAAACGATTGACTGTATTTATTATACAAACAAAAATATGTTATATATAAAATAAAAAAAATAAATTTTTACTGCATACAAAACACGATACAATGCGTTATTAATTTTTATAAAAAATACAAGAGAATTAAAAAAGGGATTACATTTCGAACCTAATGGTATATATGGACAATATTAATTATTAAGAAAGCTGAGGAGCATTGCTCAATAAACTTGATATCGCCATCCCTAACCTATGAATTATTTCATCACACTGTTAAATTATTACCACTGTTAAAATAACAATGTTAAACATCTTCTGCTTCTGATTTCAGACCATGGCCAATGAAGTTCTGTTTATTGCTTGCTCTGACCCCTGTGAATCAATATTTAACCCAGCAACAAATGTGTATACACAATCATATAACTGGCATGCGCAGGATTTTCAATTCCTGCTTTCAATTTTGTTCCTATATACAAAGGCACTATCACACACACACACCCAAGCGCATTGGACAATTTCTTTCATTTGGAGAGCAAAGCTCTCTTTTAAGGTTAAGTGGTGGCAACCACTCCTCACCGATTGCTCGATAGTTTTGTTGTTGGTGGGATTACAGAACAGCAATAAAGTGGAGCAAGTGTATACACACACATTGGTACTCGGCTCCCCAAGAAGAACAACAACATTGAGAATGGAACATAACAGAGATTGCAGACAGCCAGCAGGCCTGTGAACTGCTGTGGTGTCCTAATTGGACAATTCTGCTAAAACTAAAGCAACCAACAAACAAGCGAACCAAATAGTATTGAGGTGGTTGAACTTGTAACGTCCAAATAAAAAAAAAAACAAAAAGCTTCATGTTTATATATTAAACAGCATGCATGCGTATGACTGCTGTGTATTTGGATATTTGCAGAAGTGTTGGTATACGAAAATGAAAAATGTACTACTCTGCTAACCCTTTCCCAGGATTTTTGGCGCAATTTCTAGAATCCAGTCCTCCTACTCCTCCTCTCTTTGGAAGTTGCCAAGTAAATACTGTACATTGTATTGCTACTACATACATACATATGAGGAAAAAGAAAATCTAGTATAGACCTATGCGTTAATAATTTCAAAAAAAGAAAATCCCTCACATAGTACATGGAGGGGCATGTTGTATATATTTCTAGAGAGTACTTTACTATATAGAGAAAAAAAAAACGGAAAAAAGCAAAGAAAAATTGCATGTGCATGCAAAAATGAAATTTGCTTTTGCGAACCTGACCCCTTTTTTCAAATAAAGGATACCTGTTTCATTATTGTTTGTAGATACATACATATTTACATTTTGCATGATTCTAGTATGTATCGAAAGAGGCGTTGAAAAATCGAGATTAAAAAAAAGATTCTACATTTTATAAAGCAGGCCTTGGGAAAATTCAAATCTTAAAAGTTAAAAAATTATATAACTCAATTACTGGGACGTAGGAAGGATTTTTTATATTCAAATAAAAGGCTTATTTTGAACAAACATTCTAGCACTGGTGGGGTAGAAGAACCTATATAACATTTTTTTCTGTGAGAGTTGCTATCTCTTCATAACAACAATATTAGATATTCCAGAGTCTATACTATTACCCTATAGCTATGCTAAGGTCCTAAGCAGATAGTGAGATAGGGTTTAACTTTTATACAAATTTTATTTTTTAACTGGAATTTCGATCTCTCGACTGTAATTGGCGTTTAAATTCCTATAAAGCTCTGCATAGCATGCCATTAGTAATTTCAAAATTTTATTTCTTCAGTCTTGTAACTTAGTTATCTCTTAAATTTCAAAATAATTACTCCACACATATTAAATTTTGTTGTTCATCACTTTCCAAGTCGACTTCTTCCAAAGTTTGATCTCTCAATAGCGATTGATGTTTGGTTAAATCCCTATAGAGTTCTGCATAAGATGCCATTAGGAAATTCAAATCATTTTCGAATTTTAGGGCGCGTTCCGGCACAGGATCGTGTTGAACAAAATGTTTGGATAATTTCTCTGCAAGATCCAAACCCTCTTTCAAAATACGAACATTTATAAAGGGATCATTTTCATAATCATTATTGCCAGACTCCGCGCCTGTTCGAAATTTGAGATTATATCGTTGACGAAACTTTGCCAACCAACCACAACTGGCAACAAATGCCGGTTGTTTAGATTTTCTCGAGCTATTTGGTTCAGCTTCTTTCAAACGTCTGTAGATATTTACAGCCGTCTGTTTGATAGCAGGTGTCTTTATCGATTCTCCCTGTTGCAATTTCTTTTTAATACACATTACCAATATTTTTTCCATTTTCTGTTTAGCCAGATCGCGTGTACGTAAAGAGGATTTAGCACTTTGTATCGTTCCAAAAGACACGGTTTTTCTAATGGTCGTTTCCTTTTTCTTAATTGTTCGTACTGTGGCCTCGTGGAGATCGAATAATTTTGCCACTTCTGTGGGGCGTTTTCCACTGGCAAGTAAATCTAAAATTTTAATTTTTGTTTCTAAATTTATGGATTTGCGTTTTGATTTTATCCTCGAAGAAGTGGCTGACATTGTTATGAGGGACTGCAAAATAATAATCATATTGATTTAATATTAAATAAAATATGTATTTTAATTCTTACATGTTAACAAAATCAATCAATTTTACTGTCCGTCTTGTTGCATTTAAGTTCATAAACCGAATACTACATGAAATCGTGTTAAAAGAACATGTAAATTCGTGTTCATAGATTCATTTACTCAGCAAATTTTACTGCAACTCGTGTTAAAAGAGAGCTTTTACTCTCTCTCCTTGCAGTTCATTAAATTGAGCATAAAAAAGCATGCTTAACTAAGGAATAATATTGTTAAAAACATTGTGGCCAACACTGTATTATTTCATTGCATTTTATTTATATTTTATTCTTATATTAATTTCTTGTTATTTTTCTTATCTAAATTCTGTTTTATCATTTCATTTTTCTCAAACTGACGTCACAGAACAACATTCATTTAGCGGCTAGCAGTGTTCATGTGTGTGTGTCTGTGCAAAAAATAAACATTTCTTATGTGAGAAGCATGAGAGAGAGAGAGGGAAAGCTGCCATATTCACAACCCGCCAGCTGATGATCATTAACCAACATGACAACTCGTCGTCTGAGAAATATCAACGAAACTGTTGACAGCAGGTTCTTTGCTTCGTCGTATGTGAACGTGTTTGGATTTGATTAAACTACTCCTGTTAAACAATTCGGCAAATAAACAAGACAAACAGCAAAACCTGATTGAGATGGCGTATAATTGAGCGTCCGTGTGTGTGTGTGTACATTTTAAAACAGGTTTATACATGGCATGAGACACAGAAGTAGGATCATTTTTTAAATAGCCGTTACGTATTCAAGGTCTACAACACCACCATCACTTGCCAGCACCACCATTGGGTCGTTCATAGTTTTTGCTTTTCATTGTTGCTGTTGTTGTTCTTGTCATCTTCAAAACTCAACATGTTTCAATAGCTGTATTTTGTTTATGAAAAATCTAAACACATCTGTTTTTGGAAAACACTGCAAAATAATTAAGCGGGGGTTTGTGTGTGTGTATGTTTCTCTATAAACATCGAGAACAGTTAGAATAAATAGATAATGATCTATGAGAACATAACATCACATGTTTTGTTTTTTTTTTTTTTAATATTCAGTGGGAAAGAATGAGAGTAACAGAGACTGGGAGATTTGTTATTGCTTGGTTTATTCACAGCTGACTTCATGCATGAAACCAGTTTTTGTAAATCGGTCGTTTCCATTAGAACATTGAATATTTTTGTTGTAATGGAATTTTAAAGAATAGTACGCATTAAAAAGCGGTATGAAATTAAGATTAGTTTTATTGGTTTTGAAATGTTTATTTACAAAATTTCTTTTATAGCAAATAAAAGAGAGAAAATTTGCTTTATTTATATTACTTTAATATATTATCAATAGAAGAAAATTTGTATATATGTATATATGTCAAATTCTCAAAAAGTAGGTTAACCCGGTAAAAAGTTATAATGTACATGCCGTTTTAGACTACGTTTACATATACGAAATCCACTCGATCTCGATCGATGTCAATTCCTTTGCGTATACGTCAAATATAATCCACTGGGTCTGTCAACTGGATTAACGTGACCCATGCGCTATGGAATTGACGTTTGTGATCGAGCGGATTTAGTAGTCTAAACGCGCTCTTATCATACTAATCAAATATATAAAATGATAAAGAGATTAAATGTAAACCTACGTCAATGTGAACTGTATTTAAATAACAGTTGTTTTCATTAAACCAACCAATTAAATTTTTAATTATCTCAATTATCATTCAAACAAATGACGTTTTTTTGCCTAAAACACATAATATAGCTTTCAGTATATAGGGAGTTTTATTTTTTTGGAACCCGATCCCAGTCTTATATGGGTTCAAAATTCATATAAATTATTTAGGACCATTAAAAATTATGAATGAAATCAGTGTAGCTCATATCAGGTATTACTCTCTACAGAACATTTTTATGAAGAGAAAGGCAGGCAATCTAAACGCCATCGCCATGAGCAATTTTG